CAGGTCCAGGGCTTTTCCCTGATAACAACCAATGTCCCTTCACCTTCAACTTAAGATAGTGAGTGTTCCCTGGTTTCACTGGCTTAAGAAGTTATGTCTTAGATTTATTTAGGAATTTACGATAATTATTACTGCATCAATTGGCTACTCAAGTGACATGAGTATTTCCAAGAATCACATCAGCTACAGAGTAAATAATTGCCCTAGATGGAGTTCATCTGTTACTGAGCACCCGTTCCATGCATCCACTGAATGTTTTAATCCCCACTCCCCACCCCAGGGGACATCTGGCTATGTCTGGAGACATTTTTAGTTGTCACACTCGGGGCTGGGGGTTGTTATTTGCATTAGAGGCCAGGGATGCTGCTAATCATCACACAAGGCACAGGAGCCCAAAATGTCACAGTGTGAGAAACCTTGAGTCAACGCGCGGCAAGGATACTGGGGTACTGGTAAGGTAGGAAACAAGTTATGAAAGACAATAAAATATGGTCGTTGTCCTGGTAGAGCTCATAATCTGAGACAATACCTCCTTTATATACAGGGGTGGGCAAAAGTAGGTTAAATTATCAGCCATCATTACCTAAAAGATAAATCATAATTGAGGATACAAAATAACAATAAGACAAATAATACAAATAAGTAATACAATAATAAATAATACCAGAATAAACTATTTTTCACATACTCACAATTGTGAACCTATGTTTGCCCACCCCTGTAAGTTTTTTTCATCCAAATAGTCCACACAATATTTATATTTAAATACTTTTATTTTCATTTCACACAAAAAGCAACAGTGTTTGCAGTACACATGCCTTTCAGTCAGTGCTGGTCATATGCAAAACAAGTTATCAGAAGTATAAAGAAAAATAAGCTTTTTCCCTTTACAAGTAATACAACACAATTTGCATATATAATGTTATACACACACACACACACACACACACACACACACACACATATTTTCAAAAACTTCCACAAAAGACAGATTATGATATAAATTTAGAATTCCACCCACAAGCTCAGATTCTAGGAATTGGAGATCTCCATAGGTGTTTTAATACAAAAATGTAATACCTTTACAAGTTTCCAAGTAATTGCTTTTCAAAGTGTTTGAAAGAGACTATTCTTTACAGCGACATAGAACACTTGGCTTGAGTCAAGACAGCTGTAAGACTAAGTTTTGTCTTAATGTGAGTTTTGTTGATTAATGCAAATGCTCCTATTATTTTGGAATTCTTATTTTACACACACGCACGCACACACTGGTGTATTATTGTACTAATGGTTTATATAGTTCAACTTCTGGAGCATTTCAGTCAGCTAAGCCATGACCTTTACTTTCTTTGAAGTTTTTTAAATTAAAAGCTGTTCAGAAATATCACTACCATGACTAACTCTAAAAAGGTGCCCCTTCTTTTTTATTTATGATCAAAGTTAAATGTGTCATGAATAAGCTCTTGTTTTTTTTCTACAACAGCAGGTATAAGTAACAGCAAAGTGTAGGCTAATTTTCAACACTAGAGCCTGAGAGTTTGATGTGATAAATAAAATCTCTGAAATTTTTCTAGGAGTCCTAATACTCAATGTTTCTAAAAATGTAATACCAATATGGCAACTCTTCAGCATTATATTCATTATAAATTGCACAATAAACCAATGATGCTCAGAAGCGTGAAGGAAGGAAGCAAGGGAGGAAGAAAGGGAGGAAGAGAGGGACAGAGGGTGGACTTTACACATGTGTTTTCTTTGATACAGACAAATGTGGAGTCATATTTACTTTGTGGTGGATGAAGAGACGATGTGATATATGCTTGAGAATGGTGAAAGCAAACATACAGGTCTGAATGTATGAAATATATGCAAAAGCATACAGCTAATGAGGCAACACTGGCTGACATTTTCCAGTGCACTTGAAGAGAACATCTAATGGTATAGGCACTGAAGAAAAAAGGAAGGAAGAACAGGAATGATCCAGCTAGTGGAGAACTGAGGAGGAAGGTGTCGCCACACAGAAGAGCTCTGGGTAGGAAAGGACCAACTTGCCCTTCCACATACACGTGGGTGCTGAAAGATAGAAGGGCTTGTCCCACAAATTATTTTTGGGTTAGTTTTTGGGCCCATTTTTTCATTCACCAGAACCATGGCAATAACTCAAAAGTTTCATTCCAAAAACCAAAATAATTTTTACTGGGTACACAAGAAAATGCTATTGATGGACTGCAACAGACTTCTGTAGATGAATAGGATTCCAGACTTAAAAGAAGCTACTCTTAAGGCACTTTTATTGGCTGACCAGTCACTAAAGATTAACCAGCAATAAACTTTAAACATACTTTCACTTAGTACTATCCTCTTGCCTTTCTGGGATTTCTAATGTTCAGGTCCCTTCTCACCATTTCATTCAGTTTGAATGAAAGTAGGAAAAGCGGAAACTGATTAGCCATGTCCAAGTGTCTTCTCCCATCTTATTGGCTACGTGCCCATTGCCATTAGTGACATCACCACAATGCAATGCCCACAAGTCAGAGGCAGGGACTTGGTGAAACTTTATTTTTGTTAGGTGTACTCAGAGCTCTTCAAGGGACTAAGTAGTAAAGGAAAATTATTAGAAAAAAAGCAAATTCTGTATATCTGTGTATATTTACATCTTTAAAGGCATACATGCTGGAAAATAAAACAAACTAACCACAAAAAAAAATTATACTAGCTACAGCTAACTGAGGAAATCTGTGGGAAAGGAGGAAATAATGTGTCAATTTATGAAACTCAATTTTCATTAGGCCCCTCCATAGCCATGCAAAGGACTAAATACAAATGAAATAACAAAGAAATAAAAACATATTTATATGTATTAAAAATATTCGCCTGCTGAAAATATAAATCTCTCCAAAAGAAACAAGTCAGTAAACAACACACAACTATTCTAGTCACTATTGCCTACACAGGCAATAAGGGGCCGGGGAGGGGAGATCTGTCATACACCGATCCTCAGTTTTCATTTGTACCTATACATTCATGCAAAGGTCTAGGTACAAAATCAGTAATATGTACATATATATATTAATGTTCATACCCCGCCTTTTCCCCCAACCCTACCCACCCAAATAATCCCTCCCCCTAAAAACCAAACCCAAATTATAAAACTATTGCCTGTGCCGGCAGTGAGGGAAGGGGAGTAGAGGAGATTTATCATAGGTTTGGACCTCCATGTTTCATTATGTACCTAGGGTCCCAGGAAAGGACTGAGTACTAAATGAAATAATACACAAATGTAGCAAATACTTATATACAAGAAAAATGCACACACACACACACACACACACACACACCACCCCCTTATCCCTCCAAAAAAGCACCCAAACATCTATTCTTCTACCATTGCCCACCAGGCAATGATGGAAGGGGTATAGGGAAGATATTTCATAGAATCAACCTAAACTTTCATTAAGTACCTTAACAGTCATGCAAAGAACTCGATTCAATATGAAGTGAACAAAGAGGCAAAACATTTATATGCAATTAAAAATTTACATATCTTGCCCAAGAGGCCAGTTCCCTGTTAAAATCTCAAACAATAAGCAAAAAAAACACACAAAAAAACAACAAACAAAAACAAAACCCAAACCCTACAGTATTCTCATGAACACAGGCTATAGGGTAAGGGAGAAAATATTTACTACACCTCTGGATCTGGGTCTCTGCATTACATTTGATATCTACAAGTCCAAACAGAAAACTGGGTTTGGGGAGAAAGAACAAAAAACCCAGCAAACATTTACACACACACACACACACACACACACAGCCAACCCAGAAATCTCCCAAACCTCTGAACAACTATAACACTAGTCATTGCCTCGACAGGCAATAAGGGAAGGGGAGAAGAGGAGGTTTTTTTTTCATAGAATGAACCTTAATTTTCACCATGTACCTAAGTTGTTCTTGGAAAGGTCTAGGTACAAAATAAAATAACAAAAAAGAGCAAAAACATTTATATACATTTTTTAAAGTACATATTACCACCATCCCAGGGGAAGGAGTGGTAGAGTAAAAAAATAATCTAGGCTACTCTAAAACTATTGCCCACAGAGGCAATAAGGAAAGGGGAAAAGAGGAGATTTTCATACATCCGGACCTCCACGTCTCATTCGGTACCTACACGTCCAAGTAAGGGACGGGGTACAGAATGCACTAACACAACACAGTAACAAACACTATATACAGTTGTTAAAAGGATATATCCAGCCCTTAGTCCCTTCCCACCCCCCAAAACTTCAAAAAAACACAAACTACTTTAAAATTGTTGCCTACAGAGATAAAAAGGGAAAGGGAGAATAGGAGATTGCTATACATCCATGGTTCATTAGGAACCTACATGTCCAAGTGAAGGATTGGTGCCCAATGAAAACGATAATAAGAAAGTACAAAGCATTTATCCCAATAACCAGAAAAGAACCCTGAAACCAACCAAGTACTAATAGCCATTGACCACTAGGGCAATATGAAAAGGGGAGAAGAGGGACTCATACATCCGGACCTCCATGAGTTATTAGGTACTTTCCAGTATGGGCAACCAATGAAATAATACAACACAGTAGTAAAAACAGGTATATACAGTAAGTACACATCCCTGCCCATCTTTCCTTGCCCCACCCCCCCCCACACACCCACACACACAACACGAATTTCGTGCACCAGGCCCCTAGTTTATTTTAATAAAAAACTTGCGGAGTAGCTCATGTTGGCAAGTCTTCAGAGGGGAAGCCTAAGGAAGGTTGACTAGTAGGGACTATGCTGAACTACTGATAAACTAAAGTTCTAAAAAACTTTGCTGGGCCCGCCCCCCCCCCCAAACCCACTCCAACAACTACACTACTAGCCATTGCCCACATAGGCAATAAGGGAAGGGGACCAGAGGAGACTGTCATACATCTGACCTCCACATGTCATTGGGTACTTAAATGTCCTATGAGAAGGACATTGTACGAAATGAATTAATAGTACAAAGTGGTAGCAAATTTATTTATATACAGTAAGTACATACCCCATTCTCTCCTACACCACAATACAAAGCAAACTACTCTATCAGTTACTGTCCAAAGAGGCAATAAGGAAAAAAAAATCTGTCATTCTCTGAACCTGTTTCATTAAGTATATAATGCATCCAAGCAAAAGAACATTTATAAAATGAAAAATAAATAAGTAGCATAACATTATGTACACCTGAAAGAATGATATACATCTCCCCCTACACCTAAGCCTAGATCAAAACAACAGCAACCACTACTCTATTAGCTATTGTCCATGCAGGCAACAAGGAAAGGGGTAAACGGGACATCTGTCCGACTTCTGGATCTCCACGCTTCATTATCCATGAGAAGCATGAACGAAATACAAAATGAAGCAACACCCACAAAATAGCAGCAAAAACATTTTGTACACGTTTTTAAAAGACCATACTCTGCTCACCTCTCAATATCACCACCTCCTTTCAAAAAAGGAAATAAAAATCTACTCTAGAGCTGTTGCCCACACAGACACTATGGGAAGGCAGAAGAGATTTTCATGGATAATATTTCACTTTTCATCAGGACAAAATATACAAAATGAAAGGATATAAAAACACATCAAAACCACCTATGTACATATTTAAAGTATATACCCCCAAAAAGCCACTGAAAGAAATCAGTCAACACTACTCTACTAGCGATTGCCCACGCCGGCAATAAGGGAAAGGGAGAAGAGGAGATTTATCATACTTCTGGACCTCCACTTTTCATTTGGTACTTACTTGCCAATACAGAGAATGAAGCACACAATACAAGACTGCAAAAACCAGCAAAATTATATACAGTATTTTAAAAAATAAAAATGGGGCTGAGGGGAAGCTCTTTAAAAAGAGAATTAATTCCAATAAAAACACTAAAAACAAAGGCAAAGGGGAGAAGAAGAGCTACCTCATACCTAGGAAATTCAGGTCTTATTCTGCAAACTTAGCCCAGGAACTGCTATGCTTGGTGATGATACATCTCCTGAGATGCATAGGCCTTCCCTGCAGCCCCATGAAATGCAAAGGCATTATGGGAATGGTCAGCAATCTGACTGCAGATTATGGTTCCAGGTGCTTTGGTCTGAGTAGAATGTTTTTAAAATCCAACTCGGTAACAGGCTATCAGTAATCCAACAAACTCAGCACTTAATTTTCATTTCTTACTGTACAATACTCAGAAAGCATTCTATTCTGTACCCAGTAAGACTGATGCAGCTCAACATCCTCCATGTACCCAGGGCTCTTCTGCCAGCTCTTTTGTTCCTACAATGGACAAGTACAATAAAATGAAAACATGAATGGCAAAGAATATTAGAGTCAAGTGGAACTTGTGATAGCAAGAAAGTTCATGAACACTGAAACAACGGCAGAGAACACTTAAATTCACTTAAAGAGATTTATGTAAATCAGTTAGATGAAAGAAGGTGCAGGCTTATGGTAGAGGCTGACACTCCTTGCAGTTTAATACTTCCAATCACTTGATATTAACAGAACAAACTGGACTCCTTGGATTTCTCCTTTCATAGCCTAAGTTTTGTGTTCCCACAACTCCAGATTTTCCATTCCTAAGGATCAAGATATGTCTTTGACATTACATTCAAGCAGATGTCTCTCTGCAATGAATATAATACTTGTCACAAACAATTGTATCATGGACCTATGTGCTTATATAAAAAAGCAAACTGTGGCTAACTGCTGTGCTTCAGTCTACTTGACTTCTCAGAAATTCAGTGGCCAAGATAAAGTTTTGGGGGAAAAACTTCAAAAGCTACAATTATACTTACTATACTACATGTTTTACCTATTACTTAACCTTATGTTCCTGATTTAGGTTAATTTTTAGATGTCTCATATATATTGATTAGCATAACAATGAAAATTATGGAATTCTGTGGGAAAACTTGAGGTAAGACCTAATAAAACTGCAAATAGTCTGAGGTGAGGCCCACAAACACAACTATAAATAGTAGGGATCCAGTTTCATGGGAATGAACGGCTTTTGAGTACAAAGATAGCAATGGTATATGAGTTACCTCTTTCTTAGCTGAAGTTTTGATAAGGTTTTACTTATAATAATAACACACACCCCCATACCACACACACACTCTCACAGGAAAAAATGATATAATTCAGGACAACATCTGCCATATGCAGTTAACACATGATACAGGAGCCATGTGAAGATGGACAGATAAAACTGAAGCATCTTAACTGAATTTGAGAAGTAGCAAAATTTAAACTCTGTATCAAAGTGGAATTTAGTAATATAACATGGTAAAAAAACAACAATCCAGCAACAACAAAAAAACCTCAAAAGTTTAATATTTTTTCCCACTCTAAAAATATAAAAACTCACTAACTTTCACTATCAACTAAATTATCATTCATTTACTGAAGCACAAGAGGAATAAAAACCTACAATTACCCCAGTTTCAATAAGACATCTTTAGATGATGCTGTGATTCTCAGGATATAATGTTTTCTATTCTAAAACAGACAGATAAATATTTAGAAAAGACTAAATTGGGTGAAAACATACTAGGAGTAAAGAAAGCTATATTTCAGCTTGCCAGCCTTTTAAATTTTGTTATATAAAAATATTTTCATAAAATAAAATATAGTTTTATACACAATCCCACGTTTTCACTTTACACTTGCTGAATAAAAAAAGGTGACCATTCCCATTGTCTGATTCTGTGGAGTGTTTTTAAGTGCTTGAAAATGGGTAATTATCCTCTTTTTACAAATATGTTTTTAAACACAATATAAAGTACAAGAATTATTTGGAAGCTTTTCTCCTAAGAATCAAAGAAACACCATAATCTAAATATAAGTCTGCAGAACTCACAAAATTCAAGTACAGTATTTCTCCTTTAGAAGGAGTAAAAATGCCATACAGTTTTGGATTTCTCCTCCCTTCCTTCCTTCCTTTCTTTTCCTTCCTTCCTGTTCTTTCTTTCTTTCTTTCTTTCTTTCTTTCTTTCTTTCTTTCTTTCTTCTCTCTCTCTCTCTCTCTCTCTCTCGACATTCCCTTTAATTTGCTAGTTTGGCCATGGTAAAATAAAACTATGATTTTTCAACTAAAGGAAAGTACTGTATTTGATAGTGGGGAAAAATTCAAAGCCCACCATATTCCATATGAATCAAGTTACTCCTTTCTCACATTCTCTCATTCCTTTAAGGTACTATGGTGAACTTCAAATAAAAATGTTCAATTTCTCCAAGGCCCTACTTTAAAATGTTTCTTATGTGCTACTTTATCATATAAAATGAAAAACCCACCCATGGGTATGATTCAGAGAGAAAGTGTCTAAAATCTATCATGCCAAAAGATATATAAAAACAACCTATATTTTTAGTAACAGTGATAAAGTAATGATGAAAGACACCAGTATAACAAAATGTTTGCCATAACTGTGAAAATACTTATTTATATAAAGTATATTTAGGGCAGGGAATGGTAGAGGTGTATAGATATGGAGAATATCGAAACTTAAGAATAAAATAATTATAATTAAAGCTATCTTAGTTTGAAACATTTTCCTAAAAGATGAAAAAGAAAATGTTAAACATTGGGAAAATATAATCTTTTGGCCTTGTTATTTAGCTTTTTAATATAACAAAAATTTAAAAATTCTGTAGCACCTAGCTATTTTGCAGAAAAAAAATATAATAGTTATAGATCTTATTTAAAAATTTTCCAGGAAATAAATGATTAATCAAAACCCCAAATCAAAGTAGATCTGCACACCTGAGATGAGCTCTCTACAGTTGCATGCTTCATCCACTTCACTGATTGCCATACTTTTTGAAGTGTTACCACATTCAACAACTCTATCAACAAGAAGCAACAAATGGCTCACAAACCAGCAGCCTGCAACAATGGCTGGCGGCTCCCATGGTAGGTCTTTCCTTGTTTCACTGGGCCAGTACTTTACCGATACTGAGAAATAGAACAGAATTCCAAGCCATTTTATTCCCCATTTGGGTATCTTCAAAGTATACACATTACTTGTTGTTTTTGTAGATGGTTGGCATATAAGTGAATGTAATTTTGTAATAAATAACTACGTACTGCCCAAAGATGTTTCAGAAAGACCGATGGACCCTGCGCGAACTACAGCTCCTAAGAGTGCAAACAACTCAGCAGCGATCCTTGGCTTCACCTTGTCTTTTGCAAAAGTTAACAAGCAGAGCCCAAGTTAACGAGCTCTCTGACGGGTGACAAAATGAGGTGCAGCTGTGCATGCTACAGCCACCACGTCAGCGTCTGAAGGTTCTTCTCCATCCACTGGATATTCAGCTGAATGACTTCCAAAGCCTCCTGGACACAACGAAGCTGAAAGGTTGCCTCTGACTGATTTTCAAAGAATGCCTGGACCTGTAAGTTGCACACAGAAATATTTCAAAAGAAGAAAATTACAGTTAATCTCAGGTAACTCTGAATACCCTTTTCAAATAAACTTTCACTTAGTTCTGGCTGTGTTGATGTCTTAAAAGTAGAGACAAAAAGTATTTTAATATTCAGGGTAGTTATATCAAGTTACTAATCAAGTATGGTTAAACTGAGGTAATTTTAAAAACGCATTCTCCCTACTCGCATAAGGATGAGTTTTTCAAATATAACTTCAAATAGCCAAGTAATAGTAAGTGAGATAAGACAAAGTCTAAAGTTAGGCGTGGTGCCCAACTTTTACCCTTGAAGTTGCATTCTTCACAACAACCTCATTACCACTTAGAAACTTGGCATATACTGGTCTTAATTACAAAATTATTTGTGTCAAGGAGACAAGGGGATATTGTTGAGAATGGAATCAGAGTTTTTCCTCACCGGAATTGTTTCTCATTGCTGTATATCCACCCTTTAGACGCAATCCCAATGCAGAATCATTAGCATTGATGAAGGCAGAGGAGGGACAGGAATTGGCATGAAAAGCCACCATCTGACTTAAACTGAGCAGCCTGAGAGGAAAGGTATACCCCATCTCCGTTAGCAGCATTTTATACAACTAACCTCCGACAAATGTGCCTTCGTTGAAAACAGGTGAGTTGATCCAGCAACAATACTTTGTATGGTATAGGAACCCAGATGGAACCTGCAGAAACACAAATACAAGAGCAAAAAGAGCAAAAAGTGAGGCAGCTGTTGGTAAGCTAAGTTCCTGAGTGCAAAGGAAATGCTTCCTGAGAGCTACGTATGCCAAGGCAGAGTCGCGTCCGTCTGCTGGGAACTGCAGCTCCAGAAGTCGGGAGAAGGCCTACATGCACTTACTGCCTGTGGGAAGGAAAGGTGGGCACAAAAGGCAGGAGCTGGCAATACCCAGATAAATTATTAACCCATTTGAAATCATAGCAAACATCCTGAAATCTAATTATTGCTTTAAAAGAAAAAAACCCTATCTGTGCTGTTTACCTGGGTGTGAGTTCTGAACTGATCCCTTGGCAATGAAGAGGCATTTTTCAACACACATAACTAAACTGCTCTTCTGATTTAGCCCGTGCCCATGCTAAGCTAAGTGACCTGGAGTCGGGCATGGCTAGGCTTGATTAGTACCCAAATGTGATTCACATTATGGAATTATGCTTACAAATGTGAAAATTTCTGAGTGTTTTGGTTAAATGTTACTGACGCATTTTCCTCTCACAGCAAATCATAAGGCCTGTGAACCAATAGTTGATTGGGAGTAGTTTTCAAGTGCAGAGACTGGAAACACTAGGATCTGGAATTCTGAGACACTTACTTCTGTACAAGCTTGTTCCAGTTCTCTTTGACGAAATCCCATGCCAGTAGGTGTCCAGGGAAATGTCGGCCCACTGTTCTTATGACAAATGACAGCTTTTGTGTTCGGATGGTATCTCCACTGAGGCTAGTTTTCATTAACCTGAAAAGCGAACAGATTTAGCTTCCAAAATAACAATTCATGATGAAGTGATGACTGAACTTAGATTAGTGCTGATCTCCTAATTAAAGCTCTGTAGCAATTCAAGGGATATCACTTTTGGGTAAGTCTAAGATTGATCAATAGATTGAAAACTTGTCATTTTTTTAAAATGAAGAATTCACCAATGAGATAAGCACTTGAATATACTGTGACATAATAATACATACTTCTTGATATAGTAAAGACATTTGAGAAATAAACCCTGGTAGAATTTATAATTCTGAAGACTGATTTTTTTCCTATTAAAAACCTTAACAGAAAAAAAAATTGATTTTATTATAAGGTATATTATTACTCTTTAAAAACTGGGCTGTTTAAATAATATGAAAATGAAGACACATTTCAGGAATATACTCTTGATATTAATAGTTGTTACTTATTAATATTTCATATGTACCAGGTAATGTTTTAAATTGCTGACACAACAACACTTGAAAAAAGGTAATTATTACCTATGCCCACTCGGTAAGAAACCGAGGTTATGTAATTGCCCCAGTTACACTGCTAGTAAATACTGCAGCCTGGCATCTGCACACAAGCAGTTCTCATCTACTGCGCTATGAAATCTGTGTATACAGAGAAAACACATTTCCTCCCCAAAATGCAGCAATACTTTTAATAGAAAGAAAACCCAAGTGCTCATCAAGCTGTGATGGGTTAAACAAATTGATGGAGCCCTACTACGGAATACTATGCATCCATGCAAACAAATGAAGTAGGCTTCATGAACTGACATGGCAAATCTCAGAGAAGATCATTGGCTGAAAGGACCATCACAAAACACTGGGGATAGTATAAACTATCCTAATATATATAAAAAGCCAGGTGCCGTCACCACCGGACGGATGACCAAACAGCAGGCTAGGGAGCTGAGGGAGTGGGAGCTGTGGGCCCAAATGACCGAAGGGCAGGTCCGGCTCTCACTGCGTGGCGGACCGGGGCTGTGGAGGCTGAGGAGCCTCGCAGAGCAGGGGGCTGTGAGCATGGAGCTTCCCGGGGTGGCAGAGGTGGAGAAGCATTGCGGGGCAGGGGCGGTGGACTCGAGGTGGAGGAGCGGGGCGGGGGTGGCTGAGGTGGAGGAGCGTCACAGGGCGGTGGAGGCGAGGCAGGGGCAGTGATCGTGGAGCTTCGCGGAGCAGTGAAGGAGTGTCACAGGGCAGGGGCGGCTGACACCAAGGAGCCTCGCAGGGCGGGGGCTGTGAGCGTGAAGGTTCAGGAGTCAGGGGCCATGGAGATGGAGGTGCGATGCTGGGGGGCGGACATGGCCCTGGTTGCAGCTAGGCCTAGGGATTCTAACTGCGCACGATTTAATCATGCGTCGGGCCTCTAGTGTTGATATATAAATATACAGACCAGGATTGACACTGTTAGCAGAGAGAACAAGAATGGAAGTAAGGATCATATGAGAGAATCATATGAGATACTTTCATGTTTTATTCCATTTTCTTAGATATTGTTTAAATACTTTATAATGGGAATTCATTAGTGTGTTATTTGTTTAAAACAAAATTATTACCAATTTAGAATTAACTTTTCTCTGTTTGCTTGGATCAGAGGCTGGCTACTACATTAGGGAAAATAATTATTTACAGCGCATCCTTTGGAAAGTAGGTGTGGGCCGGTGCTGATGACATCTCTGGGACACTCTTAGGATTTATCTGAGTACATTTATACAAGAGAAGCAGTGACACATCAATGCCTCCCTCTGACCTTCCCAGCGCTGACCCTCAAGCTTCTTCCATATTTCCTTTGGATCCCGGTGCTCCTCTGCCCCACCACTGCTGGCTCACTGCCCTTCTTTCGCCTGTGAAACTCCCATTTCCAGGTTTTTTCAGGTCAACATTAGAAAGGAAAGGTCTGACAAGTTCATATGAAAGTAGAGCCTGTACGCCTTTACATAATACCTTTTTCTGTAGTGTTTGCATTATCAAAATGACAGCTTGGACAGAGCAATGCCTTGACCAGGAGAATGAAGCACTAACTGTGGAATGAAGACAACAAGCCAAGGGGGCGAAGCCATGTTTAAGCAGAAAGTAGGTGGGTGCTGGGATTCTGGGCAAAGCACCTTCTGCCTATCGGTCCAGTTCCTGAGCTGAAAGCCAGCACATGCGGGCTCCTTACCCCATTGCCCAAGTCAGGTCTGGCCTGCGAGTAAAAGGAGGAAAAGGGAGATCCCAGAGGAAATGAGCTCTCCGCCCGTGCAGCACAATGCTTTCATACTTTTGGCTTCTACATGTCCTATTCCTTGGTTGGTTTCATACCAGTAAAGTTTCCGTACATCCTCTGAGCTGGCAAGAGCTTCAAGTATTTTATTCTTCTCTGCTTCAGAGCCTATAGAGATGTACTTGCTTAAGAGGAACGACCAGCCGCTCTCAGTCCTTGCTCCGACTTTGAACACAGCAGTCATGACATCAGTAGGTAGGCTGTAAGAGAGGTTCTCAAATGTGAGGACAAAAACATCCTAAATTCAAAGGTAAGGGAATGACTAGTGGTGATGTTTTAGGGGTCAGAGCAGAGCAGTACAAAAGAGTCTTCACTGTACAACTAACCAATAGTGAAAAAAATAGTTAATTTAGTGGCTGCTACTTTCCTAGTTGGTGGGACCAGAAGAAATATGACTTCAATTTAATACAATAACTATTTGCTGAGCATCCACAAAGAACCAAGCAGGTGACTGGCTGGATAATGGAGAGGGGAAGAAAGAGACACAGTCTCTGCCTCTAGGAACTCGCAGGCTATCACGAAGTACAGAACAAGAAATATATTCATTACAATACAGTGTGTTAAGTTCCATGGTAGAAATATGGAGCGAGGGATGAGAAGAGGGGAGGGAACAGTTTTCTGCCATTATTAAAATCTCCTTATCTGATGCTTGAATCTTTTTCCATAATGCCCAATAGGGAACCTAGAGAGAACCGATCATCATCAAACTGTTTTTACTAATTGCTAACTCCACCTGCTATGTTTTATTCCTAAATTAAAAGAGACTCTTTGACACCTCACACCCATTAGGATGGTTGCTATAAAACACACACAGACAGCCACACACACACAAACCAAAAATAACAAGTTTTGGTGAGGATGTGGCGAAATTGGAAGGAACCCTTGTGCACTGTTGGCGGGAATGTAAAATGGTGTAGTTGCTATGGGAAATAGTATGTCAGTTTCTCAAAATATTAAAAATAGAACGACCATATGATCCAGCAATCCTACTTCTGGGTATATATTTGAAATAAAGGAAAGCAGGGCTTCAAAAACATATATGTACGTCCATGTTCATAGCAGCATTATTGGTAAGAGCCAAAAGGTGGAACCCAAATGCCTATCAGTGAACGAAGGGGTAAGCAAAATGTGGTATATGCATACAATGGACTGATTATTCAGCCTTAAAAAGGAAGAAAATTCTGACACATACCACAACATGGATGAAGCCTGAGGACATGTTAAGTGAAACAAGCCAGTCACAGAAAAACAAATACTGTATGATTTCACATAAATGAGGTATTTAGAGCAGTAAAAACTCATAAAATAGAAAGGAGAACGGTAGTTTCCACGGGCTTGGGGAAAAGGGAAGGCGGGGACTTATTTGGGTAAGAAGTTTCAGTTTTGCAAGATAAAGTTCTGGAGATTTGTTGCACAACGAGGTGAATATGCTTATACTACCAACTTGTACATTTAAAATTTCTTAAGATAGGAAATTTTACGTTACATGTAATTTGCCACAAGAAAAAAAAGTCTTATTTGAGAACATAAGTGCCTAGAATTCACACACATTAACACTCAGTTTTATAACATGTAGATCCAGGATGAAAAGATCCTGCTTTTAGTACATGATGTGAAGTAAAGATGAGGAAGAGAGTTCATCTGAGTAAAAGCACACCTCACCTTAGAGTTCCATTGGATGCAACCCACTCGTCAAACAGCTTCAAGGCAGTAGTGCTGCAGTTCTCTAGGTTGTGAACACAGGCAAATTCTAGCAAGGCTGACCGCAACTCTCGAGCAGATGGGGAGCCATCATCAGTCCAGTTTTGCTGCTGAATTTGGCTTTGAAGCAATTTAGATACCCTGGCCTAGAGAGACAAAATAGATTACAATGGAATAATAATAATTAGGACGACCAGGAAAAGTCAGGACAACTAGATCTCTTTTTCCCAACATTTACCCAAGAAGAAAAAGAGAGAGAGGGACAGAGATATTACTTATTAAATATCAACGGCCCACGAATAGCTGAGATGAACCATTCAATGACACAGTTTATACAAAAGGCTGCTATAGCCAACAGGGACTTTCAATGACATAACACAGAAAGAATTAACGGCTTCTCTGCAGTAAGGAACCTTTCTCCAGTATATACTCAGCAAGAAGTTATTTTCCTGACCCAAAGTACCAACTGCTAGAAGGAAGTTGGAACTTCCTGACCTCGTGACTTTAGAATTCATAAATCCAAAAAGCAGTGTGAGAGAAAAATATAGTTCTTTACTGTGTAAATGTTTCTAAATCTAATATTAAATAAATACTTCAAATATTGATGCTGTAACAAATTAATTAGTGAGAAAATGAGTACTGTAGGAAAGTATAGTTGTTTATTGTTATTTTCTCTCCCAATATTTATAAAAAAAATTCTGAACCTACAGAAAAGCTACAAGAATAGTACAATAAACACCCATATGCTAGATTCACTGTTTTTTTAATACTCTTACATTTGCTTTGTTTCTATGTGCATGTAACACACATACATTCATATATATTTTTATGGTTTTAGCTGAACTATGAGAGTAAGTTACACATACATTGATATTTCATTTATAAATACTTTAGCATGCAACTCCCAGAAATAAGAACATTCTCTATTATCACTCTGAAAGAAATTCAGTTATTCAGTAATACTATCCACTATTTCAGTCCACTGTTAATAGTTTCTTCTGAATAAAATGCCATTCTTAAATGTATACTTACGGTATTAAGAAATCAATATAGCTATTTCTTTTTCATCTCTCCCACAACAAAAGTGTAAAAGCGGTTCATAAAAGGAACATGAATTTTAATATAAAATGCTTAGAGGTATTTTTTTAGAAAACCTCATGGCTGTAAATAAGAAGAAACAAAATAAAAATTTACAGCCACATCCTGCCCGCAGGGTCTCGGGCAAGGGCAGTTCTTCTTTAACAGCATCACCCTTATCACGTCTCTTCTCAAGTAGTCAAGTACCACAGATGACCACATACAAAAACTCAACCCCAGAAAAGTAGTTAAGTTCTTCATAGAGCATTATATTCTTACAGAGTACCACTGTCAATACTTAAAATGAATCCAAGGCAGAGACTTATAAACTGCGAGGCTATTTTCTCAGAAGACCTCTGAATAAATCTATTGTGGAACTATGAAAATGGAATCAAGAATCCGTGCAAGGAGGACTCAAAGTTTGTGATGACATGATAACTTGCTATTGTTTGCTTGCTGCAAAAGTAATAAAAAGGAGAACAGACACCTTGTGGAATGTCTGAGTAAGCTTGTGAATCATTGGTAGGATGTGAAGTGGGAACAAAAGCAATGCAGACCCTCCTGGATACACATGACCACTTTGGTACATGCTGTCTTCACTGGCCTGACCTCAACAACATCACAATAGAAAACCATCCCAAGTGACTGAAGCAAAAAAGAAACTTAAAAGCTACTCATAACTGTCAAATAAAAACAAAGAAGGGATGAGAAAGAAAAAAAGTCACATGCTTGAAATACTATTTTAAAGAGTTCAGTGGAGCCTGGCTGGTGTGGCTCAGTAGTTGAGCATTGACCCATGAACCAGGAGGTCACGGTTCGATTCCCTATCAGGTCATATGCTCGGGTCATAGGCTCAATCCCCAGTAGGGCACGTGCAGGAGGCAGCCCTTCAATGATTCTCTCTCATCATTGATTTTTCTATCTCCCCCCCCCCCCCCTCTGAAATAAAAAACATTAAAAAAAAGTTCAGTAGAGAAAAATGCCAATGCTCGAGAATTAACTAAAACATAAAGAAGCCAGTACAAAAAAATGTCGTTGGAAAGGACTCGAGGCAAGAGAAGCATGAACCTTGAACAGGCTAATTCCTGAGCAGTTACTCCATCGGAATTACATGACGAAATTTTACTAGTTATTCCCTGTTCACCAAGAGGAATTACCAAATAGTTGATTTGAAATATATTTCAAATGATAACATAATACAGTAAAATATTTCCTTTTAAAAAAGAATTCTTTTTTAGAAAATTTCAGGTTATATTTTTAGTATTAACAAATCATAACAAGTGCTTTGAATTACCTTTGCCTTCTACAAATAAAATTAAAACTACTTTTTCCATGGTTCTAAATTAATTTTTGAAATTTAAACTTATTAAACATTAGAATCCCATCCTCTGATTGCATAAAATGAAAATGGCAAATGGGGAGAGGGAATGTAGATGCTACGCACAATTGAAGGAGTTGAACCTTTTGAATATTTTTCTCCTCTGACACTTAAGTAGGGTTATACAAATTACAAACATTGGATATGTAATAAAATACAACAACAACATAAAATGATTTAAAAAATAAAACAGGGATAGATGCTGGCACTTATGCTATGTATTACATTTTGATTTACTACTTTAATTTTACACTGATATGCCCAGGGAGTTCTTTCATGGGTCAACTGAGCTTAAAAGTGAAGTGTCAGCCTCTATTGCAAAAGGTTATCCCACCAATCCCTCATACATACAAGAATGACAGACTTATAAGTGATGAGACAGGAATACACCTAGGATCAGATGTTAACATCATATGTGAACAATCTAACACAATCCAAGTGTGCCTCCAGCCCCTGCCCACCACAACACCACAGCATACATCACAAAATGTGATATATAGGTATGTGCTACGTAGGTATGTGCAGCCTATACAAAAAAATGACCAATAAATGTACATTCTGCTCTGGAGACAATGACATAAAAATTAGACACCAGTCTTAATCATAAATACTACTGAAGATTGGATGCAAAGACTCAGAAATGTCTGCCATTCCGATCTCCGACTACAGTGGGTCAGACTTCATATTTTGAGAGTTTTGATGCTACAAGATGTCCTAAAATTTGAATAGGAATTTTAAGGAGACAGTTTCTCCCTCTGGATGAATTGAAGCTAACCTTTTAACTAACCATCAATAGTATGCAATCTCCATCAGTAAAAGGGCCTGTGGTCTTCCAAACACATACTCATCCTCCCGTCCTCGCCTTCTGGACCCCACTCTGAAGTATGTTCTTAATAAGCACATACCTGCCCAGCACACTGGAAGTCATCATCAGGAATGAAGATGCGGAGTTACTTGATTAGGAAAATATTCAAAAGGCTTAACTCCTTGAATTGTGTTTCGCATCTATAGTCTCAGCACAGGGCTAGCTTGAGGTAAGTTATCAAGTGCTTCCTGACACTGGGCCTCAACAGAGTTAAGGAGAGAGGCAGAGGAAGAGTAGCTTCTGGGCAGCTTCAGAGTAGATAGATATTCCGCCTTCTCTTAGAGTACATTCAGTACCAACACTGTTCTTTAATACTGAAAAGAAGTTAGTAACAAATACTAATACGGCTACCTATACTGGGTTGAACAGTATGCCCCCAAAAGTCATGTCTGACTGGAACCTGTGACTGTGGCCTTATTTGGAATCAGGATTTTTGCAGATGTAAATAAATTAAGAGGGGTCATACTGGATTATAGTGGGCCCAAACCCAATGATGGGTGCCCTTGCAAGAAGAAATTCAGACAAAGAAACACAGGAAACATGCCATGTGAAGACAGAGGCAGAGATTGTAGTAATGCAATTACAACCTAAGGAATGCCAAGGATTGCTAGCAAGCCCCCGAAGCTGAGAGAGACACATGGAATAGATTCTCCCGCAGAAGAAACCAAACTTACCCTAATAACACTCTGATTTAAGGCTTCCAGAATTGTGAGAAAATAAAGTTCTGTTGTTTTAAGACACCCAGTTTGTAATAATTTATTATGATGGCCCTAGGAAACTAATATATTACCCCAAATAGTGTTGATTTGATATGGCACTAATAACCCCAAAGTAGTTATAGAAATTCTATAATAAAAAATGTATACAATGAAGTACACTGGTGCTGGATCACTTAGATATCCATATTGAAAAGAAAGTAATATTTATGTTTACCTCACACCATATACAAAAATCAATTCCAAATGGATCATAAATCTAAATATAAAAGGTAAAAAAAAGTTTTCAGAGAAAAACTTAGAAGAATATATTGGACTAGGCAGATTTCATACCTTAAAATTAAGAATTTATGTTAATTAAAAAAATCATTAAGAAAGTGAAAAAGCAAGCCAGAGTAGGAGAAGCTATTTAGAATATACTTGCAAATATACATGATAAACAAAGGACTCATAAATAGAATATATAAAGAAGGCTTAAAAAAAAAGAAATCTTACATATCAATACGAAAAAGGCAGACAATCCAATAGAAAAACAAATGAAAGACTTGGGTACAAGAGAGAATATCCAGCCCTGGCCGGAAGGCTTAGTTGGTTGGAGCATCATTCCGTACACCAGAAGGTGATGGGCTTGATTCCCAGTCAGGGCACATACCTGGGTTGCAGGTTTGACCCCTGCTCCCTTCCTCTCTCTAAAATTCAATTTAAAAAAAGAGAGAGAACACCCAATGGGTCAATTAACATATCAAAAGGAATTCATCTTCACTTAGGGCAGTGGTTCTCAACCTTCCTAATGCCGCGACCCTTTAAAACAAATCCTCATGTTGTGGTGACCCCAATTTCATTGTTACCAATTGAACAAAGCATAGTGATTAATCATAAAAACAGTATGTAATTATATATGTGTTTTCCAATGGTCTTAGGCGACCCCTGTGAAAGGGTCATTCGACCCACAGGTTGAGAACCGCTGACTTAGGGAAATATAAATTAAAGCCAAAATTACAATATTATAGTGCACCCATCCAAATGGCTAAAAGAAAAAGGTTACTCTTAATATAAGTGTTGACAAATAATAGATCCAGAATAGACCTTGAATTCTCATACACTGCTGATGGAGTGTTAAATTGGTGTAACTCTGAAAAATGATTTGGTAGTACAGCATTAACCATGCATATGTTTTGATTCAGCAATTCCATTTTCCAGACACATACCCCATAGAAACTCATCAAAGACACGTATAAGAATATTCATAGCAACACTGTTTATAATAGCTCCAAACTCCAAACAACCCAAATGTCCATCTACAGTAGCTGAACTGGCTAACAAATGGCCAATTTCTTTAATAAACTAATAATAGAAAGTCTGTGTCAGATTATAACTTTGCCCCAAAGAGACCAATAAGTTAGCTGTATACTTCTTGGAAATGCACATCAGTACTATAAAAAATACTGTTACTAACATTGTAGGTATAAAAGAAATCTCATATAGTAAGTTGACAATTTCATTTTCAAGGAAGTAACTAGATGTGGGTCTGTAATTTTAAACCTTAAGCACATGGTCTCCAAGCTTTTCAATCTGTTTTAATTTAAAATCTGAGCAAAAAAGAAAAAGCTTTGATATTTCCCAACAAAAAGGTATCATTGGAAAGATGGCATTGTTAGAATACAAATTAGTTTAAAATATAGCAACGTAAGGCAAAGAAGAGGTTTTGAAGTAAAACCAATGTGGGTTAGAATCTCAGCTTTATAACTGACTGGGTAAGTGACTTTGGGGAAGTTATTTAGTCTCCTCATTTATCTCATGAAGGTAGAAATATCCATTTGGCATTGTGTGAGGATCAAACAGGGTAATCAACACTAAGCACTAAGCATGGTGTACAGAATATAATAAACACTGACATGTACTTGTTTCTGGAGTGTCTCGCTCATTTATTCATTCCACATTTACTGAATGCCACTATGGGCTGGGGCACATTCCAGGAGCTGGTTTTTATTAAGGCTGGCAGTTAAAGCCTTATGAAATAGGAGAATGATAAAAATCTATCAATTAGCTGAAACCTCAGAAATCATCTAACTTAAGAATCTCACTTATGGGTAGAGCTGGGGCTGGTTCCTTTGGAGTCAGATCAGAAACTTGCAAGGGACGGTGTTTTTCAAGCTCCATATGGCCCACCTGCCCTACATTCCCTTCCCCCACTGAGAATCATGCCTGTGATAAGAACTCATCATAAGGGGTACACAGTAGATCAGTAAAAGTGGCAGAAAGGAGATTGTTAAAAAAAAAAAAAAGATTTAATCCAACCCCTTCCTTTTACCAGTGAAGACACGAAAACCCTAAAAGACTTAATCTAATTCCTGGTCCAATACTTTCTTCCTTTTCCTGAAAGCTGCCTTTTACTTGGTCCCTGGAAAACCTGACTAGTTTACAAAGCAAACCCTGTGGTCAGAATGTGCTGATTTAGAGAAGTGGATAAAACAAAGGATGCATCACTCCCTTCCAAGCTTTTAAAGACTCAGCCAACAGTTTAACACTGAAAGTGCCTACAATAATGACTGTTAAGATCAGGCAACTGGTTTTTTTAAAAAGGTAAAACAGATTCCAATACCAAGACTCCCTTACTGCTTGGCAGAGAAATACCAGCATCCTCATCCATAAGACAGGTATCAGAAGGGCTCCTAAACAATAATCCCAATACAAACATGACTGTCATTTAATATTGACTACTAGGATATTAATGGAAGCACTGCTTTTCAAAAGGATCCATTTAAAGCATTTACTATATAAAAATTTGAAAAGAAAAAGTTTCTTTTCACGTGACAGCAGTATGAGAAATCTATATGTTGATATTCAAACAAGACCACATCATGCTAAGCCTTTATCAACTCTTCATGGTAAGCAATGATATTTTGATTAAAAATAAAGATTTCTTGGAAAGTGAAGAAAATGGAATTTCATTCCTTTTAAAACCTATTACTGAATAACCACATTAAAAGCAATTAACAAAGAGAAGCTGGCAAAAAAGGCAGACTCACCACCAGTCTTGAGGCCAGATCCATATATCCTAGTTTTTCAAGGAGGTTATAGATGAGGCCTGTCTGAAACAGGGTTTCAGTGATGGGTGCAGTATGGGTCTCATTTCCAAGATAACCAATCAAATCAAAGGCCTTCTGAAGAGGCACTTTGCCTAGCCTACAGGGTAAAAGAACAGAAAAAGTAAACATGCTGAGAAAGGCAGATGAATTGTATGCATGCTGAGAAGTTTTATGGTCAAATGGTGTCTTGAAGGCCTAAAATTTAAGCTTAGAGTGTCATTCTGTAAAGTTAGACTAAATATGATTACCTTTGATTAAGTTCATGTGTGTGACCCAAGGTTAAAGACACATTTCAGAAAAAAAATGATAAACAATTGCTCCGTTTTTATTCCATGTCACCTGTAAATTGCTAACTCAGGAATTACGACATCTTAGATGATAAATGATTCAAAGTACTAATTTTATTTGTTTTTTAAATTTCTTGTATTTACCAGGTGGCATAAGGAGAATTTAAAAAAGAAAGAAAATTATTTATATGGGAATTTATTTGTCAAACTTATTAAAGTGAGGTCCACTATTAATTTATGCTGAGTACATCCTTAAAATCAACCATTTTATAGAAATCATAACAATGATGGCTGAAATCATATAATGTCATTTCACTAAAAAAAAAAAGAACCAAAATAGGAAGGTCAAGAGCAGTCAGAAGGAACATTTTTGAATATTCCTTGTGTTTCTAGATCCATTAAAAACCTAAATTTGTAATCTTCCTATTCTGAAGGTTCTCTATTCACAAGGTCTCTGCCATTCTTGGCTTTGGGATTCCAGTAGCAGATGAGGTGATAGAGGAGGCAAGTGGTACATAAATAAGGAGGCTCCAGATATAGAACTGCCCCTCAAACTAGTGAGTAAGCACTAAGCATCACACAAACCAAGTGCTGCTTGAAAAGAATTCTATCAATAAGTAAAACAAAGCCTGAATTACATCAACTTATTCAGCAATATGGGTCGTGCTTGTTGGCATCTATATTCTTGAAATGTTATGTAAATCTTGTTACTTAACTGTTCAATATTTGTAGCTAATTTTTCACTATAGATTATAAAGTCCCTTAAGGCAAGGACTATGCCTGACATTTTCCAGTTCCCCAAAATGACGTATACCTAACAGGCAATACATGATACATGCTAGTTCTTTTGAACTTTTTTTTCTAAAATGTTCTTTTTCTCAATATCACTTGTTTAAAAAACAAACAAACAAAATAAAACCAAAAATAATCTACCCTGCAAGTTCAAAGATGTTGTTGATGAGGTTGGCTCGGTCTTTGTCACTCAGGACGTAAGGATTTATTTTCAACTGTTTGATTAGTGCATTCCAATCATCATCTGCATAATGTACAATATAATAGCCAGTCATGTTTGTATTGACTTTGATCCACTGTACTTCTTCTGTAAGATTGATGACATCTAATATAGATAAAAAAAATGAGAAATAGAGAGAGAGAGAGAGAGAGAGAGAGAGAGAGGTAATAGGGTAAGAAAAAAATTAAATGCTTTGTTTCAAAGTTAATATGGTATATTTTTATATTTAATTATCCTACTAAGAAACAAAAACTCTGCCTTTTAATGCTGTTATTTTCACATTAACAAAGATTGCCATTCACTCATTTAATAATTACTGGTATTTATTTAATGGTGAACAAGGTACTTATGTCTCTTCCTGCATAGATCTTACAGATTACTGTAACCAGGTAGGTAGAATTCATATAAATGTTATTGATGGAAAAAGAAAATATGATATTCTATGGAAGTACATAGAAGAAATGCTTCATTCCCTAGGGAAGCTAGGAGATTTCCTGGAAGAAATGACTGTTGAGACTTCAAGATATATAGATGTTAGCTAGGTAAAGAGTGTTCAAGACCCAGAGAGAAAGTATACATGGTGTCCATGCACTGAACTGGCTCCCAAGTGCATTGTGGCTAAAGGAGAGAAGGAGGGAGAAAGGGAAAATGTGTGTGGGGTGGGGCAGCAGGGGAAGATCATGAGAAAACTACATAAAATGTGTTCTATTGCAGCCTTTGTCTTTATGTTAGCAAAGGAAGAACAAATAAAGCCATTTTAAAAAGTCACGTAATTCAAATCTAGCAAAATAAACTTTAGGGAAGGATTAATGTCTCAACACGCACAAATAAAAAATTACTGAGTGAAAATAATAGAAAAGTGATTTGCATTTTTTTGGTCCAAACCATTACATATATAAATGTTGACAGAATTGTTAGAAATTTATGTGGAATGATTTCAATTAATTTATAAATAATAGGGAGGAACAAACTATATGACTACAAAAATGTATTACGACAAAAGCTAACTACAAAATATATGTAATAAATTTTAAAGTCCTTAAAAGTACTAGTCAAGAAATGTCCTTCAATATCACTTGTTTAAAAAAGGACATGATTTGCAACAAGGACATGATTTTAATATAACAGTTGAGGGTATACTTCTAAGTGCCTTAAGGTTTACTATTTATTAGAATACTAGAGGCCCAGTGCACCAATTTGTGCATGGGTGGGGTCTGGCGTGGGGAAGGGTGTATGCAGGAGGCAGCCAATCAATAATTCTCTCTCATCATTGAGGTTTCTCTCTCCCTCCCTCTTCCTACCTCTCTGAAATAAAAATATATTTTTAAAAAATTATAAGAGCAACACATAAATAGACTGCAAGACAAATATCTCATGATCATATCAATTGATGCAGAAAAAGACAGTCAGAATAAGATAAATATCACATGATCTCACTCATATGTGGAATATGATGATCAACATAATTTGATGAACAAAGAATAGATCGATCTAGAGACAAATAGTAGGGGAAGTGGGGTTAGAGAGCAACTAAAGGACTTGTATGCATGCATATTAGCATAACCAATGGACACAGACACTGGGAGTGGGTGGGAATGGCTGGGGGGGGCGTCAATTGGAGGAAAAGGAGACATGTAAAACTTGAGAAAATAAAAAAAACCTCAATGAAATAAAAAAAATTATAAGAGAAAGAGAGTAGAGAGGTAAGAAAAATAATCTAAACTCAGATAATAATAGCACTTTGGGGTATATTTCCTGCCAAGATTTTTCCTATACACAATTTAATTAACGTAATACTCCATACTATGGATCTATATATATGCATTCATTTTTATACTTCATATTCATCTATCAGATTCCACCCCCTGCCATTATTCCATTGTCTTCCTATGCAGTATTCAAATATCTTCATAATAAGTCTATTTCAAGGCCTACTGTAGTTTAGGAGTTTCCTATTTGGAAACAGTTAGGCTGTTTTAAAATTTTCACTATCATAATAATGCTGTGTGAAGGTTTTTGAACATATATTTTAGAAACACTCTTAAGTCCTTTAGTGTATGACATCTTAGGGTCTATCAACTTCAAAAGCATGAATTATTAAAATTTATCAGATCAGATTCTCTTAATATTTTATTTATTCTACTGAAACTATAAAAGATGTTTAAGATGGAAAAGACTTACATTCTGATTTTGTCTTAACATGATATATCTCAGACAATGTATTTTTCATTTAAAAATTCCATACTAATTTCTGTTTTATTGCTAATATAGCAGAAAAATCAATTATATTAATATAGTCTATTCCTTTTTCTAGAGCAAAATGAAGTTTAAAGGAATAACTGTGATGGCAACAGTAGCTGCTCCAAGTTGAAGACATTTTTAACAAAACTATGACTAAAGAAATGAACTTTATTATTAGCTAATGCAAAAATATCAACACTCACCAGGTCACCAAACACAATTTTCTACAGATCTTTTATCAAGAAAGGACCTTGGGGAGGAATGAAGAGCTCCAACTCTTCCTTTCTCTTAAAAGGAGGCAAGTAATGACAAGTATGGCATTTTTCCCACTGGATGGATGCGAGAAAATATTGAGAATGTGGCCGATAAGCAAGCAACTTGCGTGTTGTAAACCTAGCCAAGTCCAAATGGTAGAAAGGAGAAATGCAGCTGGGAGTGTACTTGAAATTATTACTGTCATCTCGATGACAGAATATAAAGCAGTACAGCCAACAGCACAGAGAGGAGAGCTATCATTTAAAGAGTCAACATGTTAGTCTTTTTCAGGTCTTCTGAATGATCCAGAATAGCAATCCTTAAAACCACGGGTATCAAAAAATAATAGCTTTGCTCACAAGGGAGGTAACTACATCCTGTAGCTCAAATGTGGATGCGGCTACCCTCATATGTTTTTAATTTATTATAATCATTAACAGATTAACAGTTCAATTTTCACAATCCATTGAGTAGTAAAAAAGAATGAGCAATTCCAATGTTAAATGGCAGAAGCCCAGATGAAGTAATCTAATATTGATTTTAAAAAGCCATGTGTCCATGAGTTATGAAAATCAACTACTGTTTTATAAAGAAACATTACAGCACAAAAACAAAAATCATGTTTTTACTAGAAAGTCACAAAATTTCCTGTGTAGTTTGCTCCAGAGGACTAGCACAAGACATACGGCTGAACTGCATCCCCTCTTGTTCAAAAGCATTCCTTTCTGCAAAGCTCCTTTCTTCTCCTTTATTTTATTAGCGGGGGGTTGGGGGGGGGAGGGGCGAGAGTAGAGAAATGCACATGATAAATATCTTCATTCTATGATTTTCCTTCTTCTTTTCTCCAGTTGCCTCTCACTACAATGACATGTTTTTTAATTTCGGGGAAATATTTCTGGCACAGTGATATCCCTTTAGAAACATGAATGTTTCAAGTTAGATTTCATATAAAAACTTCCTATAGTTAACGAGCTTAGAGGTCTGAGTAAGATGTGGATTGAGACTGAGACAGAGATAGAAGGGGGATGGGGGAGGAAGAAAAGGGAGAGGGAGACACATTTTTAGTATAATCTTCTCAATGTGTAGCTTGAAAAAAAAAGGCCCCTTTCAGATCTTTTTATTTTTAATCCTCACCGAGGACATGATGAGAGAGAGAGAGAGAGAGAGAGAGAGAGAGAGAAACATCAATCAGTTGCCTTCCGTACAGATTCTTGAACCTACAAACCAGATATGTGTCCTGACCAGGAATCAAACCAGCAGCTTTCGGTGCACAAGACGATGCTTAGCCAACTGAGCCGCTCTGGCCGGGCCTTCTCAGGCCTTCTTCTGCACAACTATTAATTGTTCAAAATTCTTGTACGCAGGAAAGTGACAAAAATATTAACCAAATACAGTATAACTCTTATATTTGACTGAACTAATGGACTATCCCTGGAACACATGGGACTATAATATAGATTTAACAGACTACCAAGATAACACCCTGTACTAAAGTCATATGACATAAAATAAGCCTTTGTAGCCACCGCCTCAGCTACATTTCTTTTGAGAACAGAAAAAATTAAAATAAGAGTGATTCTCACTGAAATATCAGGAACCAAGAAGAGCCAACTGTCCCTTAGGGTCCAACATTTTTTTGTGAGGACAGAACATTTTCAATGAGGACCCTCAAAATCCAAAATGCCAGGGATGAAAGCAGCAGCAGCAACAGCAGCACGGGAAATCACACAGTTGAGAAGAGGAACCAACAGATACCACTTTCATCATGTATTGGCACAGTTACAGCTCTAGATTAAACCAATTATATTGTAGTGCATTTTGCATATTTTCCTGTACCAACAGTATTTTGAAATGAAAGGAAACAGAAGATATAATTTCATTAGGCTTTGAATGCTCTTTTCCTAGAACTTTTTACAGTGAGATTTGAAATTGAGTCATTTCATTATAGACAAGGTTTATTCATTCAATAAATGTTTATGTGCCTATTGGGTGTTAAGGTTGCAAAACTGATTCATATAGTCATGATATCTACCTTCAATAGGGGACATATCTAATGTGGGGACAGATACTAGTATAAGTGAAACAGTACTTAAAGTATACAAAAGTAGAGAAGTAGAGAACGTTATTAAAGCACATACTAGTAAGTAGGGCCTCTAACCTGTCTTGGGGTGGGGAAGGCTTTCCGGAGCAAGCAATGGGTGAACGGAGATCTGAAGGATGAATAGGAGTAAATCAAGGGAGTGGGGAGGCAAGAGTTTTCTTCCAGGCGACAAAACAGCATAAGAAAGACCAGCCAGAGACAAGAGGAAGAATGGCCTGTTTGAGTTGCTCAAACTATTTTTGTGCGGGGGAAACACAGAATGACAGGTAAGGGCTGAGGAAGAAAAGGCTATAAAGAAAAATATGAGCTAGACTTTGGGATGTGAATCTCAAAGAGTTTAAAAGGCTCACATGTAAACTGAGATAAAAGGTAAAGGGTTAAAAATAAATCAGTTATCTTATTGTCCAATTACTTCTAATACCACCAAAAATTTACAGATTACCAGGACGTTTGCAAAATATCTTTATTGGTCTCTTTCAAACAGGGAAATGAGATTATTTCTTCTCTCTTAGGTTAGAGAATATCCTTGCAGGGCTCACTTAAAGTATGCAGATTTGTTTTCTGGCCGGTATTTCTAAGTGGTTAGAATGTCAGCCTGTTCACAGAAAGCTCCAGATTCGATTCCAGTCAAGGACATATACCTGGGTTGCAGGTTTGTTCCCTGGTCACAGTGAGGATGCATGTGGGAGACAACCAACTGATGTGTCTCTCTCACATCGATATTCTTTCTCTTTTCTCTCTCCACCCCCCCACCCCCCACCCTTCCACTCTATCTAAAAGCAATGGAAAAATAGTCTCAGGTGAGGATTAACAAACAAAAAAGTGGTGAATCAAGTGTCCAATAGTAAAGAAAGATTAAGTCTATCACTATATATATTAAGCTTAAAAAAAGATACAAAAATCGCATGTACACAATGACATCAACTAAGTAAAATATACTTTTAAATGACTAAAAAGAAATAACATGAGAGTAGTAATGATAGGGTGAGAAGATTTGTTCTCTTTTTCTAGATTTTCTGTAATGTGGATATATTATGTTTAAAGTATTTCTTTTTAGTAATAATATCAATAATAATAGCCAACCCTTATATAGCACAAAACATATGCCAGCTGTTGTTCTGGGTGTTTCATATAATTGAACTCAATTAATCCTCATCATAACACTATAAAGTAAGTATAACTACTAGCTCCATTCCAGAGCTGAGGGAATGAGGTTCAGAGAGGTCATATAATTTACCTAAAATTATACAACTGAGCCAGGCAATCTGGTTCCAAAGTCTGTTCTCTTAATCACTAAGCTACACTGCACTCTAAAAAACACGGGATTGAACACCAGATCCAAATTCAAACAAGAAATTTTCCCTTTACATAAATCTAGAGTATCACTAATGATTCCTGAAGACCTCAGAAGCCATATATTCTTTCAGGGTGTAAATTAAGAGGACACATGATGTGGCAGGATACATAGAGGTAGTTAACAGATGGTCAGAAACTACATTTCAATTGCATTTTATAGAGTCGTTGTGCGTCAGCATATATAATTTTTACATTTTATTACCCCTTCCTTGCAATCGTAATGTTTTGCCCCATTTTTTCCATTACCAAAAAATGTATACTATGTCTATAGGACATCCTGTAAAAATTATTTACTATAAATCTAGGTCATCAATCAACCTTTAATATGCATAAGCATCATCTAGGGTGCTTGTCCCTAGATAGCAAACAGCAGAGCATCCTTTAAAAAAACTCAAGGGGCCAAAGAGACACATGTGGCTCGCGAGCCGCAGTTTGCTGACCACTGACCTAGGCTATAAAGTTATAGCATTTGTTATTTTCTACCAGGAATGCTAGCACTTTCTGTGCAACTTTTTATACCTTATGTTACATGAATAAGATAAACCAATTTTATACATGGTAGATACATAGACCCAATCTCATTTTAGTCACATCATGTATAGATGACTCACAAAACCAGCTTCGAGAGTGTGTACACTGGAAAGTGTAAACTCCTTTCTGCTGCTTAGATATTTTAAAAATATGCTGCTTCCAATTTCTTATACAGAAAGTGTTAAGTCAAACCTGATTTCTTGTCCAGAAATGATACCAATTGCTGTTTTGAATAATTTCTTCCCTCAGTGACAAAGGATAGTGGAATATGCCACAGATAGCTATAAAAAGAAAATATTGAAAGATTATTACACTTTCTAATATTTCAGTCAGTTACATATAATTTGTCCATTTTTGCTTTATTGTTTTTGGGGGGCAGGAAGATGAAAATTTTCAAGATATTTCCAGAAAGGGGTAATCTTGTTAATGTTTTATAAGAACCTATGGCCCTGGCCAGTGTTGCTAAGTGGTTAGAGTGTCAGCCTGCACACCAAAGGGTCTCTGATTTGTTTCCCAGTTAAAGGCACATACCTGGGTTGCAGGTTCAATCCCTGGACCTGACTGGGGCTCCATGGGAGGCAACCAATCCATATGTCTCTCTCACATATCTTTCTCTCTGTCTCTCTCTCTCCCTCCCTCCCTCCCTCTGCCTCCCTTCCACTCTCTCTAAAAAGTAATGGGAAATATATCCTCAGGTGAGTATTACAAAAATATATACAAACCTATGATTACAAAACATTTAAAAATACTTTAACCTGAGGGTCCAAAGAGATGGTAGGCAGAGAAAGTGGGCGTGTACCTTGCATCTGAAGGCTGGATTTCAGGCTTCATATTTAAAAAGAATCTTTCTTGTTGTATAAGAAGCTCCTTTCCCTTTCTTTGCACAGTCACTAAAGGAAATCCTTTCTGCAGGGTCCAGGTTTTCATCATTTTCTTGACATCTACTGTTTTGTTTGTGACCTATAAATAAAAGAATAAATTTTTGCTTAAAAATAAACAGTTTAAAAACTTAACAGTTTGTATCTTTTCCTCTTTCTGTACCACATTTTATGAAGACTGCATTTAGAGTTAATATAAAGCAGCACAAATGCTGAGCTGAATTTACATTTCTAATATAGGTAAATGAGCAATTGCTAAAAGGCAAGTGACCTGGGACAGAACTAAGTGATAACTAAAGAGCATGAGAGAGACACAATGTTGAAAAAGCAGTAGATATTATCAACCAAGTGTTCATTAAAATCCCTAAGGCGGTATAAGCACTCTTTCAGTCCACAAGACTAGCATTGAAGGAGATTGAAAAACTGCTAAAACATAATAAAAAAAAAGATTTTTGAAGAAAATATAGTAATATACATTAATTTGGAAAAGACAATTTTCCTACAGAGTAGGAATGGAGATTAAGATGTAGAACAAAAATGGTCGCACAAGGCCACACACAATTTTTCAGTAATTAAGACTACTACTTCCATTTCTTTCCAATTCTTTCTATTAATGTTTATATCTTAAGCTCTATCTCCCTCTTTCTCAAATAACTATCTTTGTTACCACAACTTACTTATATACTTGATAAAAATATAAATAGAACTCCTCTCTTCTTACTTCAAGCGCCCAAGAAAACACCAGGTCAGCCACTTACCTCATTAAAACTATCCCACAGATCATCACTTTGAATGGATGCATAGCTATGCTTTTGCAGGTAAAGAACAAGAGCACGTTGAAATACATCTTCACCAAGATATGTTTTCAGCATCAACAAGAGAGAAGCTCCCTATTCAAAAAGAAAGAAGAAAAAAAGTAGAAAGGGAGGAAAATAATAGAACACAATATGTAGAATGGAGAATCTAAAATTCAAAATATAGTCAATTTAAGCATATACTTCCATATATATAAAGCCTAGTTATGATACACTGCTATTTGGTCTCATATAACCACATGTGGACTATGTTCAAATTGTCTTAAAATTATTTTAAAAGATTTGAAAATAATTAATGGAGTAGATTCCCATGTGCATTAATTCTACTATGAGCCATTTTGTGTGGTCTGTCAGTTACTCACTGTTTCAGTGTTAATGTTAAAAAACTAAGCAATTATAAATATATTTTTAACAGAAAAACATGCCAAATATTCTGTGGCATCCCCATTTTTATCCCCAATGTTTAAGGTACCAGTTCAATTCATGGGCACTCTACTGGGGACAATAAATTAAAGAACTCTCAAAAGTCTCTCTGCTGGGACTACATTAATTTCCAATGTTAGTATATCATGTCGCTAAAGTAACCAAGATCTCTCTTCTTCCTGAAGAGTCACTTCCAATATGTTTGTAATGTTGAATGTATAGGGTAGTAAGTATACACTAATAATTCAAAATCAGGCATGCACCTATTAAGGTCACATTATAGTCACTGATGCCCACACACGTCATCACTCCCACTCTTAAAATAACAACCACCTCGTTTGTGAAGCCTCCAATTTGAGATAAAAATCATATTTTTCTATCTTCAAAAGCAATTTATATCACTTCCTGCATCTGCTATAGATATAGTTATTTCTTCTTGTAGAATGTGTGCTTGTTCAGGGGAAAACTAAAAAATTCAACTCCAATGACTAAAACAAGCCTAGTACACAGTAAGCATTCAAACAGTTTTTGAATGAGTTTCACTTCTGATAAAAATGTAGCAATGTCAAGTCATTAAGATTACCATACACACATTAACTGAATTTAATATCTATTGCTTTCTCTGGTGTTACTTGTTCTATAAATTTAAGTACTCACTCTTTTCCAACATTTCCCCTTCTCTCCTATATCACCTACTTTCCCTCTCTACTGTAACTTTCCCATTAAACCCACAGACCCTGTAATATCTCTCATTTTAAACAAATAAAAGATGTCCTTCCTTTCCTTAACCTCAGGTCTCCTCTAGTTACCTCTTGTTCTCGCTTTGCAGTAAACTCCTCGAAATAGATGTCTGCATTTGCCATCTCCATTTGCTCTCTTCCCATTTTCTCTTGAGCCATCTTCCAATCATCACTCCACTGGAAGTATTTTATCAAGGTTTCTTCAAGGTGAACTTCATAGTGTCAAACCAACATCAATTCCGTGGCTCAACTTACCAAGTACTAATAAGTGGCTTTTGCTATAAACCACTCCTCCTGAAGGCCTTCTGTACTTGGCCTTGGGAAACCACTCTAGATTTCCCCCTTATTCACTGGCTAAACCTCAGTCTCTTTTGCTGATTCCTCCTCACTTTCCCAAGGACTAAATTTGGATGTTCCCTGGCATTTAATCTTTAGACCTCTTTTCTTCTCTCTCTCCAAATTTTCTTCCAGTTGATCTCAAATTTATAGTTGATCTCTAACCAGACTTTCCCTCTGAATTCCAAACTCACACCCAAATATCTCAAAAGCTGAACTTTTAATTTTCTTCTTTTCCCAAATCTACTCCTCCAATAGTTTCCCCCAATGCAGCAAATAATAATTCCATTTCTCCAGTTGTTCAGGCAAAATCTTGAAGTCATCCTTGATGCCTCACTTATATTCCACATGTAACGCATTAGCAAATTCTATGGGATTGACATTTACAATAAATTCCATTTTCCTCCAAAAAATGTATCTTCATAATCCCAGGCAAAAATACTCTACCATTCCTTTAGCACATATTATCTCTTATTGCTTCACAAGTACCCACCACCTAAACTTTGAGTTTCTTGATGACATGGACTTGGGAAGACAGATCAAATAAGTCTCCTGTTGGGGCTGGTGCCCACCACTCCTGCAGGAGATGGGCAAACACGTCTCCTTCATCCCACTCTGCAGGCACACGACCCTGCGCCCCATAGAGTCCCAGACAAGAGCTTTGGTGGGAGACAGGCTCCAAAGGTCCCAGCTCTGAGCAGCACTCCCTTCCCCATCTGTCTGTGGAACTGAGCTCAGTCAGACAGGGCCACCAGGACCCAGGAGGACAGATCAAAAGAGACTCCTGTTGAGGGTGGTGGCAGCTGAGGCTGCGGGAGGGGGGCAAGACTAACCCCTGTTCCAAAGCCACATGGCTCAATGACTGGCAACTGCTTCTCCAGAAAAAGAGCACATCAAAGTTTCCTGTTGCATGCAGCCCACAGACCTCTCCTCAGGACTCAAGCTTGGTAGGAAGGTGTCGCTGGTAGTTGGAAGTCTGGGTTAGTGCACTCCACAGGCTGGTGCTACAGGAATAGGAGTGCTGGACCCTGGTGCCAGAGTGCGGTGTGGGATAGGGACTCAGCACAGGGACCTCAGTGGTTGGACCTCCCAGATCTCTCCTCAGGGCCATGCCACCCAGATCTTTTCTTTATGGTTCCCACAGCACTGAGTCACCTTCCCTCTACTGGAGCCCCAGGTGAATGTCTGAAAGCAAGATCCTGTGTGTTGGCCCTTTAAAAGAACACCAGGGTTTCTAGAAGATGCCCTCCTCTTCCAGGAAGACAGTCCCCACTGATTTTCACTGCCAGATGCTATCTAGATTTCTCTTCCCAGCTCTGATGCTCTGGGCTGGGGATCCTGGCATGGGTCTGAGACCCCACACTCTTCAGGGGGATGTTTGCAGCCAAGATATCCCTGCGGCTTCTCAGCTGTAGCATCTCCTCTTCTTACCAATCTTTATGTGGGCTTCTTCTGTAAATCCTTGGTTATAATACACCTATTCAGCTGTTCTTCAGTTGGTTATTCAGGTTGACAGCTCTACAATTTACCTGTAAATCTGGTCTGGTGCCGGAGGAGGTGAGAGTAGCTTCCACCTACTTGATAGACATCTTGGAATCTCCTGAACTTCAATTCTTTTAATATCTGTTTGCTTACTTGTTTTGGAAATTCTGACTTTGGAATATACCTCAATCCTGAATCACACATCCAAAAGCTTGCTTAGAATCCTCCCTGGACATATTCTACCTACAGATCTAAAGAATGAACCAACTTTAAAAGATATATTGCTATAAGACAGGGGTGGGCAAACTTTTCACTCGAGGGCCACAATGGGTTCTTAAACTGGACCGGAGGGCCGGAACAAAACCATGGATGGAGTGTTTGTGTGAACTTATATAAATTCAAAGTAAACATCATTACATAAAAGGGTACGGTCTTTTTTTTCAATAGTTTTATTCATTTCAAAAGGGCCGGATCCGGCCCGCGGGCCATAGTTTGTCCACGGCTGCTATAAGACCTAGTTAAATGCCCAGAATACTAGTCAGAGAACTTAAACGAGACAGAGAAAAAAAAAAGGACAACCTAGAAAAAGTTAAGTTCAAAATTTAAATAGAAGCAAACAAATTTTAACAGGATGCCTGAAAATAATACTCATTTAATTTTTATAACAATCTAAACCATGTAGCTTGTTCACATATGAAATTAATTTGAAACCTACTCCAGGTACTAATGTGCATAGTAATACCTTAAAATAGGAAAGAGCATCAAACATTTCTTCAATCTGTTCTGAAGACTGAACAGATGATGATATTGGATGAGATGAATTCAAGGAATCTTTCTTCATGGTTTTAAATCGAGCATCTAAGAAATCTTCATACTAGTAAAAAATGAGACAGGTTAGGAAATCCTGAACAGCATCAAAGGCAGAGGCATGTATAGCAATTATTTATATAAATTAGACTACTGCTTAAGGACATTATTTAAAAAATAACCAGATTTACTCAACTTCAGAACGTAAGCTTTTGCAAGATATAGGAAGTGTGATATTCACACATATTCCTTAAATTTAAAAATAAAATTATAACCTCCTGGCCACATGGAAAACAGTGTTTCTTATGCAACAACAGTATAAGGATAAATTAAGATTCTTTTACTAAAGCAACAAAAAAATGCCAAACCCTGCTATTCAAGATGAACAGTATAAAAAGTTTAGTGTATATTTTAAAAATAAAATCTAAAATTAAAAAACAAAAAAATCTGAAATTAAAAAATAAAAGTTTAAAATAAAAAGTCATCCTTAAGCCGATTTATTATATACAGTCCAGCTTTTCTGTTAAGATAATATACATTTCCTTTAACTGGGGTTCATTTGAAATAAAATATAACTCTTAAACAGAAAGAATTCTTTGAAAGCTCAGGAGATGAGCTCCCTTAGAATATATATCAGAAGCTTTTAAACATTCTGGGCACCACCAAGTGGTGAAACTGTGAATCTCACTGCTTAATCAAGGAGCAGACACAGATTTAAAGTATCTTGTTTAGCCTTCTAACTAAAGATGAGCTCATTCTGTGCCATTTGAAATTTTTGAATAGGCCCTACACAAAAATTTCACATTGAAAGCTCCAAGAATATTCCTGTTTTAAAGAAGTCTTAGGTCACATAGCCAGGAAATATAATAGAAAGTCACAGAATTTTAGGATTGAAATGGATCTTTATACTTTCCCACCTATTGCTTGAATTATTTGGCAATAACTGTCATATCATAACCTAGTATGTCCAAATATTTCTAAGGATGGCAAACATCTCCAAAGAGTCTAATAAAGTGGCAGCATTACTATGCTCTCTATAACAAAATAGTGTTCCAAGTGTTTGAAAAGGAACAGAATACGGTTTGTATCTAAAAAGGGAAAATTATTTTTCTGTATCACTGTTATAAGTATGATCAGAGTGATAACAGACAGTATTGCTACAAAATATCTTAATTTTTTTTCTTTCTTTATGCACAGGATAAAATGTTTTGTTTTGCAAAAAAGGCCTTTCAATTATATCTAAATTCCTTCAAGCAGAAGAATCACAACTTTTGAAAATAAAATGTAGCAAATCAATTTAAAATATTTATCCTAATAACAAAATGTAAAATAATTTCACATACTTTCAGCTTTCAATGAAATATGTCAGTAAATAAAAGCATAACTTTCATTGTCAGATCTCAAGAGATACAGATTTAAGTAACAGAGGCCAATTTTATTGTTTCTTTCTAGAAATAGTTTCATTTCTGCAAATGCATAGAAAACACATGGCAAATATGATTTGAGTCTTTCCTCCCTTAGCACGCATAGTAGGCAAAAAACAGAAAAAACACTGTACTTACACTAGAGAGCTTCTGGAATATCTTTTCCAAAGAGAAATACTCCATGAAAGTAGCCAAACCTTCATTCAGCCATAGATCGTTCCACCACTGCATTGTTACCAGATTACCAAACCACTGTGGGGAAAACAAAGTATTAACCAACACAACAGTTACATTCTCAAGAATGCTCTAATAACTGAATTGTTACGTTTATCACCTATAACTAGATTATAATTACATAAAAATACAGTCATTATAGTTAAACTATGTTCAAATTAAAGACTTATAAAAGCTGTGTAAATTTACTTTAAAAGTAAAATAAAAATTTTAACATTTTACCTTAATTGAATGAGAAAACAAGCAAGACATATGCAATTAGCATATTTTTCAATTTAACACATGTTACATATTAGGTAAAATAACAGTTTTTAGACCCCTCATTAAAAATAAGATTTCCTAGATAATGAAATTCTTCTACTTTCTAATATCAAGTTAGTAAGATTCTTTTCTGTTGTAGCTACAACCACCCATGACAACTAAAAAGTAAATTTCTGTGTGACAATTTCCTATAGTTAGAGAGTCCATACTTCAAATTTCTCCTCAGTTACCCAAGTTGGGACAGTATTTACACAACTCAAAACAGAATTCAAACAACATTCCTCAAGCAAGTTGGTATGCATGTAAATAAATGAAATCAGAAAGATCTTAAATGCGTTCTTCTATGAGGAGGAAGTAAGAAGGAAACAATGAAAGAAGACTCTTTTTTTAATATATATATTTTATTGATTTTTTACAGAGAGGAAGGGAGAGAGATAGAGAGTTAGAAACATCGATGGGAGAGAAACATCGATTAGCTGCCTCCTACACATCTCCCACTGGGGACGTGCCCGCAACCCAGGTACATGCCCTTGACCGGAACCGAACCCGGGACCCTACAGTCCGCAGGCCGACGCTCTATCCACTGAGCCAAACTGGTTTCGGCAAGAAGACTCTTTTTAAAAATGTCTCAAAAAATGCCTGAAATAAAATGTGGTGATAGGCATGCAATAGTCAGTGTGGCCTAAGGCTTAACTCAAACCAGCAGTAAAACAATAAGGTTACTAGATACTGAAACAAAACACTTTTGAATGAGCAGAATATGTATTTCAAAGATATCCTAAAGCCTGTTTCAGACAAAGATGATTTGTAAGTCCTAAAGACAAACTAACAGAGAAATACTCCCCACGAAATGGTGGGAGGCCCCAGAAATAACAGATCCATAGGAAAGCCCCTAAAGACCCCTTGTCTACAGGCCTAACGCCATAATAGTGAGTGACTATACGTGTCATATGCCTGCTTGTACTGAAGTCTTCAGAAGTGCTACACAGTCGTGCTCAGGTTGAGTTTGAACAGGGAGTAAACAGCCCAGAGCATGTTCTACTCTTCTTCCATATCCTCCCACATGACACCCCTAAAGCATACCCAACACTGATGAGCACCTCATCAAGGATACAAGAGAGACAGCTGGGGAAGACAGAGGGAGGTTCATGTACCCGTATAATTTTCTTGCTTTTTCTCCATGGCATACAAAGAGTGCCCTTCCTCTTTCAAATTAATATAAAAAAAAAAAGTCCAGTTCTAGCAAGAGAGAAAAAATAAATCTAGTGATGACAACTATAGTTCAAGTGTTGTGAGAGTGCAACTTAGGAAAAAGATGTTTCCCCACAAAACTGTACTGAGCAGCTGGCATTTGTCAGTGGCAAACAGCTGTGTGTTGTGGGGGAAAGAGAGAGATCTTGATTAGATAGTGCTTCTTTAGGACCCAGTGCTGCCACTCATTAGCTGTGTGACTCTGAGCAAGTCATTTACTTACAGTAAGTCCCATTTCCACATCTGTAAGTGGGATTTTCACCTGCCCTACAGCAGTTATGAAAAGTGAGATCATACATGTGACCATGTTTTAAACCTATGACATGCATGTCAGAGGTGACACGCGAACTCATTTTTTTGGTTGATTTTTCTTTGTTAAATGGCATTTAAATATATAAAATAAATATCGAAAATGTAAGTCTTTATTTTACTATGGTTGCAAATATCAAAAAAATTTCTATATGTGACACGGCACCAGAGTTAAGTTAGGGTTTTTCAAAATGCTGACACGCCGAGCTCAAAAGGTTCACCATCACTGCTCTAGAATATGGAATAGACCACAGTTTTGAGATAAAATGCCATTGGTTGCTAATACCTGATGGGCCAGCTCATGAGCGATGACTTTAGTAACCAGTTTTCTGTCTGCTGCTGAAGAAGTATTATTGTCATACAGAAGTGTCTCTTCTCGGAAGGTGAGCAGACCCCAATTTTCCATTGCTCCTGCTTCAAAGTCAGGAATAGCCACCAAATCTGGACATAACAGGAAAAAAGTAATCAACTTTCCCTCATTTAAGGTACTTCCTGGTTAAATCAAAATAGTTCACCCACTGTTTTATCACTGTGGATCAGGAGGCAGAGTTCATTTTATACTCCTAACAAATGGAACGTTCCTTACTCTAGCCCTGTATACTCCTCACCCTAGGTCAGCGGATGAAAACCTGATAAAACCCCTGTAGAGTCACTGTTCCTCTGCTCCTTAGCAAAAGAAGAGATACCTAATTCCTTCACAACGGGCAGGGCAGCTCCATGCTGAAGAGCACTGAAATGCTCTTGCTTTCCAGAGCTTCCATTACTCAGTTTTTTAAAATATATTTTTATTGATTTCAGAGATGAAGGGAGAGGGAGAGAGAGAGAGAAATATCAATGATGAGAGAGAATCATTGATCCGCTGCCTCCTGCACACCCTCTATTGGGGACGGACCCCACAACCTGGGCATGTGTCCTGCCAGGGAATTGAATTGTGACCTCCTGGTTCATAGATCGAAGCTCAACCACTGAGCCACACGGCCCAAGCCCATTACTCAGTTTTTATTATCTGAATCAGGAACTTTTTAGGAAGTTAGAATCAGTTAAACTCCAGACTAAGCCCTAAGTGCATTCCCACTTACACAGCACCTTTGTAATAGCCCCATAAACTTGAAGCTCCACATTCAGATATACTCATGAAATCTAAATGATCTTAAATACAAACAATTTTTAAATCATTAACTGTGTTTCTTGGTTTTCTTTTATAATAACTTTGGCAAGAGCTCTTTCTACAAAACATTTTCAAAATGATTCTAGGTTATAATGGTAATGAAAATCAGAGGCACTGTTTGATTCTTACCCAATTTCTTAAGTGAGTATTGAATTTCAAAGTAGTTTTGAAAAAACTCAAGAAGCTTCACAGTTGTTTCCAAGGCATGGTGAACTTGGCCAATCTTTTCTGGTATAGAATATATAGAAACCTAGAAGGAAACATTATGTATGATGTAAGGCCAGGTATAAATAATTATTCAGGTGAACGCTGTCAAGATTGGCATATGTGAAACTGTAGAGAGTTACAAGATTTTTCAGGACAAAAATCCTTGCTTACAGTTCTTTTAGCACCCACAGAGTTTAGCAAATTACTTCCAGGCATACAAAGATGTTAAAAAAAATAACCTTAACAGTTCTTTTTTAAAAAAGTTAACATAACATCCAAAATAAACTATTTTGGGTCAGATTACAGCAATTTATAAGCATTTGCCCATTTAATTTTACAATACTCTGTTCTTCCTCCCCATTACCTACAGTTACCCTCCCTTGCTTATGAGCTATCAAGGTTGTGAATTATTTAAAGGACAAAACCAAATTTTAATTCTTTTGATACCTATCACAGTGCCTGGCATTAAGCAGGCAGGCACTCAATACAGAGGAATCGCATCTTAAGAGTGAGTTAGTTCTGAAATAAACACGTAAGGCAGAAATTGCACATTTGTTGAGCTTACCCTAGAAAAAAAAACTATAAACCAACATTCTCTTTCAGTAAGGCACAGCCAGTTTTCCTTCCAGCCTTGGGAGGGCTTGCTCTTTTCCAGTTGTATAAAAAATAGACCACATTGTATAAAAAAAATAATCACGCCCAGAAGAGTGAAACACTCCATGAGTGGCACATAGTAACTAAAGCCAACTTAAGGGGATGATAAATTCATGCCCCCATTCCCCATTCACTCCAGGGCACATGCTCGCTCAGGGGGATGGCAGATGCAATCAACCACATTACTTAAATTGTTATTCTTTCTCTCTTTTTCTAAGTGCATAAGTTAAACACATACAATGTGACTAACTGTAAACATATTATTCAATAAATATCAAAAGACAAAATGTAAACCATTATGTTAAAAGCAATGGGTTTTTTAAAAGCAATATTTACTGTTTTTTAATTGATTGGAAAAAAACAAAAACCTCTATACTCCCCTGGAAAAGGGAATGTGGACAAGACATGGCAGAAAATAAAAACCTCAAAATAAAGATTTCATCAGGTGGGAAATGGAGACATTAAGTAATTCAACATTTGGTGAACTCTCATTTTAAATTAATTTTAGTCTCCCATTAAAGGACCAAAAACCTGTTAACTATTTCTAAGAGGTCAAATAGATTTAAGCCATAAGTCCCTTTATGTGGGGCTTCAGTCTATAGAGCCATATGCATTAATCACAGAAACATGGAGGACACATGGCATCAAATGTACAGGCTCTGTAGTTAGAGTGCCAGGTTCAAGTCTCTGCTAGTTGTATGACTCAGTATCTTTATCTATGAAACTAGAGGCCCAGTGCACGAGATTTGTGTGTGTGTGGTGGTGGGGGGGGAGGGTCCCCTCAGTCCAGCCTGCACCCTCTCCAATCTGGGACCCCTTGGGGCAGTGGTCGGCAAACTCATTAGTCAACAGAGCCAAATATCAACAGTACAACAATTGAAATTTCTTTTGAGAGCCAAATTTTTTAAACTTAAACTATATAGGTAGGTACACTGTTATTAACTTAATTAGGGTACTCCCAAGGCTTAGGAAGAGCCACATTCAAGGGGCCAAAGAGCCGCATGTGGCTCGCGAGCCGCAGTTTGCCGACCACTGCCTTGGGGGATGTCCGACTGCCAGATTAGGCCCAATTGCAGGAATCGGGCCTAAACCAGCAGTCAGACATCCCTTTCACAATCTGGGACTGCTGGCTCCTAATTGCTCACCTGCCTACCTGCCTGATTGCCCCTAACTGCCTCCCACCCTGGCCTGGTCGCCCCCAACTGCTCTCCTGCCAGCCTGGTCACCCCCAACTGCCCCCCTGCTGGCCTGGTCATCCCACACAGCCTGCTGCTATTCAGTTGTTTGGTTGTTTCTCACTAACCCCCTCCTGGCCTTGTCGCCCCACTCAGTCTGCTGTTCAGTTGTTACTGTGATGGTGTCCTGAACAATTTGCATATTCCTCTATTATTAGTATAGATGGCAATACAAGTAGCTCCTACACTCACAGGGCAGCTGTGAGGATTAAATGAGCTAATACATTTATAGAACTTAGAATAGTACCTGACACAATATAAGGGTTCAATAAATGGTGGTTATTATCACTACTAATAGAGTTCCATCAGAAATGGGAAAAATATGTATGACTAGAAATTTGTGGCAAATTACTGGAAGAATGAAGTGTCTAGAACTAGAGTTAGCCAATTAAAAATGTGTTGCTTTCTAAAGTAACTATGGAAGAAATGTAACCTCCCACAGCATGTGGCCAAGAGTACTTCACCAGGCCAGCACTCTACCATCCGCAGCCCTTGGTACAGGACTGTGGCCACAGCTTATTGAATTCAGTCACTACCTGCCAAGGGAACTCAAGCTCATGCTGCTGACAAGTGCCCTTTCTGCATCCTTTCCCCTCTGAAGAAATAAGTGTTATTGCTAAAAAAATTAAAAAGCTTGACATATTCTTTTAAAGTGTGTTATTATAAACGATTGTATCAAGATCACTTGGAATTTGAGATGTCTTTATTCTCTCTGCCTGTTCTTTCCAAACATACATATTTTATGTTACAATTGATGCAATCATCTAGAAGATGCTATCCCAATATCACCCAGATTCCTCCTAAACATCGAAGCAAGCGACTATGGCGGAGCCGCAGCCCTGCCCTAAGGAGACGCGCGTCTCAGTGTCCCGGTGACGGCGGCAAGCACCTCTGAGGGAAAGCAGCCCCCAAGATCGCCTGCTGCCAGACCGTCCAGTTTCTCCCCGCTTGAGTCCCGGGTCCCCAGAGACTTCCCGGAACCGGAGTTCAGAGCCGTCGGGGGCTTGTGACTCCCTCCGGATTCAAAAGGACAGCCGCGTCCTCAGGTGCCGGCCCCTTTCCGCGCGCGAGCCCCGCGAGAGCCCCGTACCTCTGCGCTTCTCTCCTGCAGCTTCTGCGGGTCTCAGTGTGCCTTTCCTTCCTTCTAGTTGTAGAGTTTACAGTCAGCCAGGCTTCCTGTGGTTCTGGATGAAGTCCGTGTTGTTTCTCTGAGGTATTAATCAATTGTTGTGAGCGGCATTAACTTCCTGGTGTTTATCTCTGCCGCCATCTTAGTTTCTCCCGACATATTCTTTTAAAGTGTGTTATTATAAACGATTGTATCAAGATCACTTGGAATTTGAGATGTCTTTATTCTCTCTGCCTGTTCTTTCCAAACATACATATTTTATGTTACAATTGATGCAATCATCTAGAAGATGCTATCCCAATATCACCCAGATTCCTCCTAAACATCCTCTTGCCAGGCACACCATTTGGCCACTTCCATCACTGTATGTGAAAAGCATCTTTCCTCCGAGGAAAAGTAAAGGGGAAGAGGGATTTTATATAAAACTGAACTCTGACCAAAAGATCCACTTAGTCCCATTTCTGGTATACAATAATTAGGAAAAAAGGTACTTTGGTATATTTTTACTTCTTTTCTTTTTCCTTAAAAGAATATGTGCTATGAGTGCTCAATAGAGATAAATTGTCTGGTCCTTATAACTAAGATCAAGCTTGTTCTAGGAGCAACAGAAGCAGTGAGAAGTTAAACAAAAGGGCAATTTAGTTTAACAAAGAAAGTGTTGACCAGCATTCTGGTCTTGGACTCTAAATACTGCTAAATGGAACTCAACTGGCACTCAAGCCTTAAGACTTAACAAAGACTTAAAACCTTTCTTGCAAGATTTCTTTTGTGAAGACCTTTAGGAGATTTCTAAAAAAGACTCCACTAAAGACTCAGAGCAAAGGGTTCTTAGACTGAGGAGTAACACATTTGTTAGGTTTAACTTACTCTGTCCCTTAATTTAATAAAAGCAAAAAATAGATAAAATAAAAACAAAACCAGAAGTAAACCTCATTCCCCACCCAGAAGGATAATAATATAGCCACCTCCTAAAAAAATACCAGCTTTCCTAAACAGATAGCTGAACACATAAAAAATATATATATATTCCTAGAAAAAAAAACAACAACAAAAAAAAACCAGTATCAAGTCTATCCAGAATAACTAATTAGATGGGACTTCAGGAGAAAGATATAATCAATTTTGATGAATTACAGATATACGAGGCCCTTAAACAATTTTACTCATTACTCCAATCATAACCTTGAGTATTCCTTCAAACTACATTTTTATGCTATCTTTTAAGTCTGAACAATGTTCTAGACTTAGCACTGGCTGTCCAATAAAATTTTCTGCATTTATAGAAATATTCAGTATTGAAGATATACCAATATTGTGGCCACTAGCCCCAACACTAAAAATGTGGCTACTAACTGAGGAAGTAACTTTTAAATTTAATTCATTTTCAGTTGCAATGATATAATTAACAAACAATACTGTGTAACCTTAAGGTGTACAAAGTGTTGATGTGATACACTTACATATTGTAAATGATTACCACAGTAGAATTAGTTTACCACCTCCATTACCTCAACTCATTTCAATTTCTTTTTTTATGTTGAGAACATTTAATACCTGCTCTTTTAGAAACTTTAATGTATATAATACAGTATTATAACTATAATAACCATGCTGCATATTAAATACTCAGAACTTATTCATCTTGTAATTGCAAGTATGAACCCTTTGACCAACATTTCCCTATTTCCCCCATCCTTTAGCCCCTGGCAACCAGCATTCTACTATCTGTTTCTGAATCTGGTTTTATTAGATTCCCCATATAAGTGACATACAGTATTGGTCTTTCTCTGATTTATGTCATTTAGCTTTCAAGGTCCATCCATGTTGTTATAAATGGAAGGATTTCCTCCTTTCTCATGGCTGAGTAATGTTTCATAGTACATATATACCACATCTTCTTTATCCATTCTATGTTTTTCCCGGTATCTATTTCCCTTAATTCTGCTCCAATTCTTCTTTCCTCCCTTCAACTCTGGAAGAAGGACAGTCTTTACTAACTGTCCTCTCCAATGCATCCAAACTCATACTTTTTCCCCCTCCAATAGTACGCTAGAACTTTTCTGCTGGAAATCTGGACTTCCACAAAGGCTCTCTTGTCCAAGAGCAACTGTCTAAGACAGCAACGTTCAATTGGTGTTCTACAGGAATTTTTAAAACGTGCAACATCTGACTATTTAGTCAGGGGCACTGACCTCTTTTCCCGTAGACTGACAAATAAAAAAAAATGACAACAGACAAAACAACAATAGCTATCCAGTGTAAATAAAAAAATAATTATACCTATTTTTTGTTGTGCCACAGAATTTTAGTAATTATTTTATATGTGCCATGAGGTGAAAAAGGTTTAAAATCACTGGTCTAAGACAGTTTTTGAAATGCTCCCAAACTATAGCCAGGAAGCTGAAACCATTTCACATGCCACTACAGGGTTCGTAAGCAGGACCAAGGTCTGTATGCTTAATAGCTGATGCATAGGTGGGCAAGACTTCTCCAGCTCCCATGGCATATGGTGCTGGATCCCACAGCTTCCACAAAGGCACTTTTCCCATGGTTGGATGTCAAATTGTTGTTAGGGCAAGGGGGTGGGCATAAATGAAGGACATCTTATTCAGCCACTACACTGTTGTCTAATTTTAATTTAAATCTACATAGTCACATTAAGCTAGTAACCACCATAGTGCATAACACAGTTCTAGAAGCTTTATTATACATGCAGTTGTGAGTATGTGAAACATATAGTTTAGTCTTGTATAATTATTTATTAATTATTGTAATGTTTACCATATGAACAACTATAAACCTACTTTTGCCCACCCTGTATATTGTCTTACTGGGATTTACTTGTAAAAGTAAAATTAAAAGAAATTTGAAAATTATTGACTTTCAGGTATTCAACTGATAACAGTAAACAACTATGCAAAAAGTAATAATTCTGAACTGTAAGATGTCAGAGTTGTGATCCAAAACCTTGTCATCTTCCATAAAGCAGTTACCAGAAATAATTAAAGAATTCCTCTCAACCTCTTTCAAGACCAATACCATAACAACATACCAGGGTTCCATTTACGTCCTGGCTCAGATTCTTCATCTCCCCCACAATGAAAGCAACCAGGTAAGTGCTCATCTTCACGCTTTCAAAAAATTCATCCTGAACAAGTCCATCTTTCATAGTGACTGATGACTTCTACAAGCAAAGGGGAAAAGACGACAGTTCTATAACTATGGGAATAAATGACAGTAACATATAAACTGAAAAACTGAAAAATTCAAATAGGAAATAAATAGCAAAGATGTTGGCATATTTTAATCTGTCAGGACTGGTTTCTAAACTAATGGCCCTTAGTCTCTGTCTGTTCTACCATCCTTCATCATGAGGATATATTAATCACAGAGAAAATCCTTAAGCAGTTTTTAGTCTAAAAAGATGGCTTTAAATAAATGTAAGTTAAAAGATAATAAGTAACATTGGCTCTGTTTCTCCCCTTTAAAACAACATCAAAACCAAAATCCTTCCTTATGATCTAGCATGCTCCTCTCTACTGCTACAAATAAACTCATTGAAGGAGCTAAAGCTGGGATATCACTACAAACTGTTGCCATTGTAACAGCCTGGTTATTATTTAACAGGAAAGGCATGAAAGGGAAGACTAGATTTGGGCATACCATTTATACAGCTTTGCCAAAAAGCTTCATTGAACACTCTGTCTGTTCCCTCCTGACTGTGGGGGAAGGGTCTAGACCAGCGGTTCTCAACCTGTGGGTCGCGACCCTTTTGGGGGTCGAATGACCCTTTCACAGGGGTTGCCTAAGACCATCGGAAAACACATATATAATTACATATTGTTTTTGTGATTAATCACTATGCTTTAATTATGTTCAATTTGTAACAATGAAAATACATCCTGCATGTTAGATATTTACAATATGATTCATAACAGTAGCAAAATTACAGTTATGAAATAGCAACGAAAATAATTTTATGGTTGGGGGTCACCACAACTGTATTAAAGGGTCGCAGCATAGGAAGGTTGAGAACCACTGGTCTAGACAAAGGCAATTTAGACACATGCCCAGTAAGGTCTGAGAGAGATGGAAAAATGCCTGCCCATCAATCACACCTGGAAACAGATATTTGGCCAGGATGGGTGTGACCACTGCAATCGAGCAAAATCTAAATAATAAACTTCCAAACAAAGGAAGTTCGCTCTCTAGGCTCCAGGGCACTAGGCCTTCCTGGTACTCCTGCTGCAGGGGGCTGTGCTCTCCTGTGCTTGCAGGGTGCATGGCCATGTTGGGCTTCACACATGGACTTTAATCTGGCCGGAATGCTGAACCTCACCTGGCTGCGACATGGAACAGAAACTCTGGACACTAGCCCTGTTTCTGGCTTTGCTGAACTCTCAGTTGCCCCCTTTTCAGGACTGGCTTGGGGGAAAGTAGACATTGGAACTGGAGAAATGTCATTCCACGCCAATAAAATCTTCCACATTCCATCCTCCCATGGAGGCTTCTGAAAATGCTTCTTTTAGTAGCATCCCAAGAGCCTCATTCCCACCTGTGTCTGGAAGTCTTGCCCTAATCCTCTGGCATCAAAATGGCTTCAGAAAGTACCAAGATGACCCCAAGAAGGTTTAGTGGGATTAAAATCATTAGAGAAGTCTGTAGTAGCCACAAGATGAGGGAATGAAGGCAATCTTATAGGATTTTCTGATCATGAATTGCAATATGTTGTGGAATACTAGGCAAGCAGGCATTCCACCTCTTTCAGAGAAAGATGAAGGTGAAGAGTATGTCTGGGAGTGGAGCTCTTGAAGGACAGATCATGTCCTCTCTGGCCTAAAAGGCTCAGTCCATACATAGTCTGTTAAATGTGACTATTCCTCTCCACTAGCCACATAGGCTCTGGGAGGCTCCTATCAGGCTGCACACAGCCCCTCAGGTGTCAACAAAAGGACCCCCTCCATTCTGTTTGGCATAAAAACAATTCTGCTTGGTTTTATCCTCATTGCCTCCCGTGTAGAGCTTACATACAAGAAAGTTGTTTGCATTCTTGTTAAACCTCCAGTTTACAATACTGACTTAAATAACTAATAAAAAAATCCAGGTCAATCATGATTCAACACTATCAAATATCATTGTTTAGAATAGCAAATATACCACATCTCAGAAAATACCACTCTGATCTTCAGTTCACAGTATTAATCATTTTGTACATTGTTAGTACATAGCACACACTTCACGTTTCCTGCCCATACATTCCATACCCAGACGGTCTTTCTCTTTCCTCAAGTGCTCAGCGGGCTGACTTCTCAGTTGATTCCAACATATATTTTAACTTTTATGAATGTATTTTAAGAAAGAATAAGAATGTATGAGGTTTCAATCATTCTCAACAATATGATAAAGAGGAATTCAAGTCTTCTGAAAAAAGAAAGAGATCCGCTCAAAAGTTTATAATCAAGAACCAGAACAGTACCTTAGGCATATTTGATAAAGCAGTGTAGTTCTCCTCTCTTATGATCTTGACGGTATAAGTGGCTTTAAATGCTGGCTCATCAAAACAAGGAAAAGCAGATCTTGCTGCCAGAGGTTCAAATTGAGTTGCTGCAAAGTACCTAAAACAAATGCAAATTCATCCAATAGTTATTTAGTAACTACTTATTTGAGGTACCTTGCCAAGAACTAGGGATACTAAGATAAACACTGTACAGTCCTACTCATTAAAGGATCCACAATCAACTGGGAGGGCAGAGGCTATATGATGAATAAAAACTTGTCAGGCTGCAAATCATGTCAGAATAGCGAAAACAAAGCACCGGAGTAGTTACTATTACTCATCTGTAAACAAAGGTTAGGGAACAGATTCTGACCAGCAGCTGAGACACTGTAAGGAAACTGGTGACAAAATCTGAAGAGGGCATTTAAAAAGTGAGGAATATTTGAAAAGGTAGAGAGGGAAGAAAGTACAATCTGGAATGGGAAGCACAACGAAAGAGCAGTATATGTTCAGGGACTAAGGATGGCTGTCCTGTACGGCCAGTGTTGCTCAGTGGTTGAGCATTGACCTATGAACCTGGAGGTCACTGTTTGATTCCTGGTCAGGGCATATGCCCGGGTTGTGGGTGCGATCTCCAGTGTGGGGAATGCAGGTGGCAGCCGGTCAATGATTCTCTCTCACCATTGCTGTTTTTTTATTCTCTCTCTCTCCCTTACTCTCTGAAATAAATAAAAATATTAAATTTTTAAAAAAGGATGGCTGTCCAATGGGCTAGTGATGGCCACTGAGATCATGAGAAGGCTTCTGATGAAAAATCAGTATGAAGGGTGATCATTAATTACTATTACTCTTCTGTAAAGTCTCTGGCTTCACAATGCTAAACCTTAAACTTGCACTTTCAGGAAGACTGAAAAAAAACCAGTTGTCCTATAGTATGTTTGTTTCCTTTACTCTCTTCAGAAATGAATTAACATTTTCCTCTCCCTCCTAGAACACAGTAACAGCACTTGAGAATTTGACTCATCTAAAGACTGGGAGTAAAGTATATAAAGAAAAAGAGAAATGCAAGTTTTCAATTAAGCAGAGGAATAAAACATCTGCATTTGGGAAATCATGGAAACATGGCTGCAGAATAATCAGGCCAAGTGTGGCCCTGGTGTGCATATTTCAAGTACCAGTTATTATGGTACGTGTACAACTGCCACTTTAGACATGATAGCCTCACTTGCTTAGGGCTAAATTACCACTTTTAAAAGGTAGGTAGAAAAGAGAGTGGGATTTGTAATTAGAAGATATAAACTCTTCAATTTACCACCCATCTGACATCAGGTAAATGAATGACTTATGTCTCAATTTCCTTATTTATCAAATTTAGGACTGAGATAGGATCTCCAGACAAACACCTTGGGTTTTTGTTAGAATCAAATAAAACTATTCATAATAAAAACTATTGATATGCTATAAAGTCCTACATAGATGTTTATTATAAATGCTAGATAACTCTTCTTTCACAGTTAAAATTATTGTACTTTCTTTCTGGTAAGGATTTGCCCAGATAATTATTTCTATTGGGTAAACTGTAAAGAAGATAACCATCAACTTAAATGAAACAATTTAAATATATTACATTTCTAACACTACATTTCTTCACCCCACTCCTAAATTCTTACCCAGTTAATAAAAGATTTTGGAGGAAGGCCACTAGGGGGATAAAGTTTGATGATAGCCATAATATTTGTTTGATGATAGCTATACTATTCATATACAAGAGTTTACTTGGACCATCACTTTGGATAAAACTTGGATCATAATATGCTAAGACAAATAAAATCTTAAATTATTGTTAAAAGAGATGTAATAATAACTATTTCATATAAAAGTCCCTTTGAGAAGGTTGCTGCTTGATAATACTTATAATCTATCTTACTTATGTTCAGTACCTTGAAGCTTATTTTTGTATTAGTGACTGCATTTGCTTTCAGAAATACTAGTTGCAGTTTGAGTACTACCTTTAGTAGTCCTGAAGACAATTATGAATTAGCTGGGGGTCAGGTAAGAGAATTCAAAGCACTGGGGATAACAATGGATAAAGGAAAAGAGTGCGAACTTGGGAGGCAGTACAACACAGTGGTTAAAAATGTGGCCTCAGCCCAGCCAGCGTTGCTCAGTGGTGGAGCATTGACCCATGAACCAGGAGGTCACATTTCGATTCCTGGTCAGGGTACATGCCTGGGTTGCAGGCGCAGTCCCCAGTAGGGAGCCTGCAGGAGGCAGCTAATTGATGTTTCTATCTCTCTTTTCCTCGCCCTTCCTCTCTCTGAGGTCAATTAAAATAATAATGATAATAATAATAATAATAAATAATGTGGCCTCTGAGTTAAAATGGCCTTGGGTTTGAGTTTCTCCTCTGCTAATTGCTAGCCATAAATTTTAAATGAGTTACTCTATGTGCTTCTGCCTCCTCATCCATAAAATAAATAAAATATTGCTATCCTGCTGTTAGTGGGTTTAATAGGATAAACAACTAAACATATAAAATGCTTGGAACAGCTTCTAGCACTTCAGTTTTCAGTAAATATGAACTACTGTTATCGTTGGAATTCAGGAATGAAGTTCACTATGACTGTGAAAAAACAAGGGCCAGATCTTGAACTAAATCATATTAGAAATGAGGAACTGCTACAGGATCCTAACATGGTCAGACCTGTATTTCTAGAAATATGAGTCTGACAACACTGAAGAAGATGGGAGGAAAATGAGGGAGGAAAGTGTGGTAACATTAGAAGCCAGGAGATCAGTCAAGAGGATGTTTCAAGAGTTCAAGAAAAAGATACTGACAGATTGAAAGACGACGACATAAAACACATCCCCAACCTAAATTTGTTTACTAGTTCCTTTAGCATCAGCTTGTTATCTAGAACTTAAGTCTAACATCAACAACTTCTAGATTTACTGGCCACCTTCACCTCTCATATGACACTGCTAAGCTTCCTTTACCACAGCAGTGTCACACATGTTTGACATTTACATGTACTCTGATTTTCCAGTCAAGAAAAAATATACCCCTTAATTACTTTACCTACTTGTTTAAATATTTATTCTTCTTAAACCTAGGAGAGGATAAAAAGTACAAAAAAACTTCTCTAATAGAACTGCGCAAAATTAAAAGTGGGAAAAAGACCCAAAAATTGCTTTGAATTATAGTTTTCAGATATATTCAAAGGTATAAATAACCTGCTAAAATTTTATTTTGCATTAAGATATGCATTCTTGTGGGCCACTCCTTTTATCTAACCAAGTAGGTTAATGAATTTATATATTTTTTGTAACAGCAGAGTTTCACAGACTACTGGTAATTTAAGATTTAAAAATACTATTTCTTAATTTTAAGGAACTGTGTTCCATTTTTCTAGCATTTTCCACACCTCAATCCAGCCCATAGCAAGAGTCAACAAGTGACCATACCACAAATCATTTATTCTGCCACATAACATTTTCCCTCTCATTATACAGTAGCAGGCACTATGGGACTCCTACTCCAAGGGCAATAATCTGCTTGGAAGAGATGATAAAGGATTTGCCTCACAGGTTTGTTTGCACACTAAGAGCACTTTTTTTAAAAATATATTTTATTGATTTTTTACAGAGAGGAAGGGAGAGAGGGAGAGAGAGTTAGAAACATCGATGAGAGAGAAACATCGATCAGCTGCCTCCTACACAACTCCCTACTGGGGATGTGCCCGCAACCCAGGTACATGCCCTTGACCGGAATCGAACCTGGGACCTTTCAGTCCGCAGTCTGACGCTCTATCCACTGAGCCAAACCAGTTTCGGCACTAAGAGCACTTTTTAAATGTATATCCTACAATTCCTAGAATGACAGAGATTACGGAAGGAGAAGTAAAGCAAAGAAGCCCAAGCTACCATTGCAATTATAAATTTGCTTTTAATGTCTGATCCCATGAAGAGCCAGCATGCCATTTATTTTAAAGGTATTACATAAAAAGAGAAGAATTAGTTATATGAATAGAGCTACAGATCCTGCTTTTGCCTCTTTCCCCATTTAAGAAAGATCAAAAAACTTTCTCAAATAGATTTTAAATATTCTTTCTATTTTTTCTCAATACACCGGCATGCATTAGCCAAATGGCATCAGTAATTCACATGCTGGTTTACAAAAAATATGAGACAATGCTCCAGCTGCGTGAAGCAGACCTAACAAAGAGTTTGGGCACACAAGAAAACTGACATTACTGCTACTTTAAGAATAACCTGTATGCAGTGTACATTGCATCTTTCTGGAAATTCAAACTACATGCTATGAATACTCAATTAAAGTGCAAAATACATGGTCTAAATAGGGAGCTGAATACTTTTATGTTTTGAGTCACTTTAAAAAAAACATATATATATATTTGTATTAATTTCAGAGAGGAAGGGAGAGTGAGAGATAGAAACATCAGTGATGAGAATCATTGATCAGCTGCCTCCTACATGCCCCTACTGACCGGGAATCAAACCGTTACCTCCTGATTCATAGGGCAATGCTCAACTACTGAGCCACACCTGGCCAAGCTTGAGTCATTTTTTTAAAAAACCAAATTAAGTCTCTCCTAGATTAAAAAAAAAATTTTCTGTCAAATTCAAAATAGCCAGTGGCACTAAAAAAAAACACACAAAAAAACAAACAAACAAAACAGCAAAGATTAAAGACACTAAAAATCACATATGTAACCACACACATCTTAACACCTTCTTTCTCATCTCACTAAGCACCTCCTAAAAGTTCCGCACATAAGGAAAAGAGGTCTTAAAGAATAATCCATACTCTTCTTTACTCTGCTTCCCACAGAGATCCTGTAAGGCGACAGAAAACTAGGTTCATCTTATAAGATATAAAAACTCAAAATAACATATGTTTAGTGTTAAAGACTGTAATCGGTATAATTTTATCTATTTCCTTCCATTAGCATGTCCGCACCCCCACCATGATATATGATATATGTTCAAGGTTTTGACTAAGAAAGAAAAAGCATTTTTCCAGATCACCATACTACTCTTTCACACATAACATCCTAAATGTTAAAGAATTGTAGTTACTGTCTCTGGGGTGGGCAAAGGAATCCATATTGCAGAAGTCTCACAGAGCAAAGAAACAGAATTACTTAAGAGGGCTACGTACTTTTTCTCATTATGTTCATCTGTGTAGGAGATTCCATAAAACCCATAGTAAGAACTAGATATATTTGCCGAGTACTCTATCTTCAAGGTATAATTATGCCCCTTAAGAAGGGCTTCCGGGGCAACAATGGCGATTTGTTCATGGAATGGATATTCCAGAACTTCGACTTGTTTTTCTTGGCTTGAAACTGCTGACATAAAGGTCACTCTTGAAATGTTATGGCCTGTGCTGTGAAGAATGATATTCCATGTGGCCTGAAGAGCCTGAAGCGAAAGCGTCACAGAACCCTTGAATGTCATTGTGGTTAGGTTTGGGTGCAGGCTGAGTTCATAGTGCAGAGGCATAATGGCAGTGGGAAGCCTGACCTGCGCCCATGGAAACAACTTCCCATTGGTTGCAATCGGCTGGATGAGTCCCATGGACTGGTTTTTCTTATGGCAGCCTTCTTTGGTAAAGGTACATCTGGGCAGGAGATAAATCACCATTATTACAGAAATGGCAAGCAAAATGACAAAAGCACAGACCAGCATGGTCCTTGCAGAGGGCACTGAACAAGTCCCATCTGAGCTCTGCCTGTAGCCAGATGCACTGTTCCGAAGGCCTGAGCTTCTGTTCATGAAGGACATGCCCAGCAGCTTGGCAGACGACTCATAATCCTCTTCCTCCTCGTCCATCTCATGCTCACCCAGACCCCGCACCAGCAGTCGTGAACCCCGGGGCTCATATTCCACCTCGTCAGGCTCTAAAGGATGTAAACAAGGCTCTTTGGCTAAATCCACCACATCTGGTTCTTCCTCAAACATGCTGTTTTCAATCATATTCCTGGGGAGTGGAAGCCGATCTAAAAAACCAAAACATAAGGACAAGGCACAGAGTTAGGAAGAAAAGCTCATAATAAATTGTCTATTAGCAAGACTGCATTTAATCAAAGAATTTTTTTTTATCACTAAGATTTATTTCCATCTCAGAGCTACTGAACTAAATAAGATGCTAAATTTTCTTGTACCCATTAAAAACGCAGGCATAAAGTATACTACAGTCATGAAACAAGAAAACTAAATACAAAGGTTAGTATTAAAAAAAGGTAACTGAGATTAAATACTAATTTCCTTCATACACTCCTGCCCAACAACCTGGGCCCTTGTCCTGAACTTCAGAGGGCCCTGCTTTGGCCTGGCTCTGGCTGTGCTTGCCCCCCAGGGTGAGGAGTCAATAACATCAAAGAGATGTGCCCTGCCCACCCACAGTCCATGTCCCCCTTCTGGGGTATTGGCACCAGAACCCAGAATCCCTGCTTCTAGGGCCTCTGTGGGTCTCTTCTCTGACTCCCCACGGAGGATCACTGATGTGCCGTTTACAGACTTAAATAATGGCTAAGCAAGAGGCTGGGTTACTTTTTCCTCCTGGAAGAAGAGTGTTCCTGTTCCACAGCAAACTGAAAGCGGTAAATTATATAGAAAATTTCCATGATCAAGATAAACTAAAAATAAAACAAAAGATTGGTAATAATCAGATAAAACTGTAATCCAACCTATTTGCTCATGCTTCCAGAACATTCAGAAGTACAACATATACCCCTCTGTAACAACCATTTTATATACGCCATGAGTATAAGTGGACCTTGGGGTTGGGTAGTGGTAAAAGCTTTTATAAACTACAAAGAACCACAGTCTCCAACTTGCTAAGAGTCACTGAGAAAAAAAATAGACTTAAAAAGTAGACGGGTAAATAATCACACATAGATCAATAATTCCTAGGATCAGATCATTCAATGTTCTATTTTTTGTTGTTGTAATCCTTACCTGAGGATATTCTTCCATTGACTTTTAGGGAGAGAAGAAGAGAGAGGGAAAGGCAGAGAGAAATACTGATGTGAGAGAAACACATCGATCGGTTGCCTCCGGCTTGAGCCTCGACCAAGTCCCAGGCCAGGGAGGAGCCTGCAACCAAGGTACATGCCCTTGACCAGAATTGAACCCGGGACCCTTTGGGCAGGCCGATGCTCTATCCACTGAGCCAAACTGGCTAGGGCCATTCAATGTTCTTTAATTAAGAATCACACAATTTTAGTTTTAAAGGGATCTCAAAAGTTTGATCATTGCAACCCCCATTAAACTTTCCTACAAGGTACTTTATACATATCATTTCCCTTACAATTCTATGAAATGGAAAGTATTATACCTATTTCAGACAAGAAGGGAAAAAAATAGAAAGAGGGGTTGGGTTAATTTATCTTCCTACAGTCACAGTTATTTAGTCACAAAACTGAAACTGGAGCTTAGTTCTAAAAATCTGATACCAAATTTTAGATTCTTTCCATTATAATGTTGCATTCCCCTACTCAACTAATTCAATAAGTGATGAGCGCTTTATATAAATTATTTATTTTGTATTTGTCAATGAAGTTGCTAAGAGTATTATTTCTCCACCAGCACAGCAAACTTACATAAAATTACTTAATATCTAGCTTAACAGAAATGCCTTGTATTTTGTGCTATTCAACAAACACTAAATAACAGTGGCAACTCATAATCCATGAAACAAAGTATCAATAAATATTAAGACAAAATTTATAGTCTTGCTGCTCAAAATTGTAGCTTTTTAGAACAGACTCGCAAGTCCCTTCCCTTAATCTGAATTTTAATAAATCCTCAGGTGATTTAAGAGCCCATAAGTTTGAGAAGTACTGGTGTAAGCCTTCTCCATGATCAGCTGGACCAGCGGTTCTCAACCTGTGGGTCGCGACCCCTTTGGGGGTTGAACGACCTTTTCACAGGGGTCGCCTAAGACCATCCTGCATATCAGATATTTACATTACGATTCATAACAGTAGAAAAATGACAGTTATGAAGTAGCAACGAAAACAATTTTATGGTTGGGGGTCACCACAACATGAGGAACTGTATTAAAGGGTCGCGGCATTAGGATTTTTTTTAAGAAAACATTATTACATAAAAGGGATCGGTTTTTTTTTTTTTTTTTAGTTTTAGTCATTTCAAACGGGCCGTAGTTTGCCCACGGCTGCACTAGTCACTCCATGCCTGGGTGAGCTCCTGCCATTCCAAACTACTTTCTTTTTTTTTTTTAAATATATTTTATTGATTTTTTACAGAGAGGAAGGGAGAGAGATAGAGAGTTAGAAACATCGATGAGAGAGAAACATCGATCAGCCGCCTCCTGCACATCTCCTACTGGGGATATGCCCGCAACCAAGGTACATGCCCTTGACCGGAATCGAACCCGGGACGTTTCAGTCCGCAGGCCGAAGCTCTATCCACTGAGCCAAGCCGGTCTCGGCCCAAACTACTTTCTACTCTGAGAACAAGCCAGGCTGCTATTTCATGCTGTCCTCCACATGCCTTCTCACCTCTCTGTTCCCTTCGCCTACAAGGTCATCATTTCTCCTTTCCATCCAGTCCACCTGGTGAACACCTCTATTCCATAACTCAGCGGCACTTGCTACAGTGTAAATTAACAAGTTATTTATTTTTTCTGTATTACTTTTTAAAATACATATTCTTTCACTTTATCTCATCCCTTTTTTTGCTTTGGGAGGTGGATAACTAATAGAAATACCAATTAGGTTGCCTTTTCCTCCCTCCTCTCCATCCTCAACTTTACAAAAGCTATGCTAGTTTAAAAGTTTTCTTTGAATAAAACTTTTAATCACTTTCTAGGTGTGGGTTTAGCAAGTTGCCTTCTAACCACCTCCTGTGAATGATCTGGAAATGGAAGAAGGATGATAGTTATAACATCCTGCTTTGGGAATTTAGTCTCCTAAACTTCCTATAGCACCCCAATTTCTGTGACAAAGTTTTGTTTTGTTTTGATAGTTTACCATGTTTGGGAGTCTAGTTGACAGCAAATATTGCTGTAATTGAATTAAAAAAATTTTTTTTAACTCTTAATGAACACTTAATGGTTAGAAATCTTCTGTGGTAATTTTTTAGTACCTGGCCATGCTACAGATTAATTGTTTAAATTTGCCTTTTCATTTTAAAATGTCTAAAAGACCTTCTTTTATGATTTAAAAAAAAAATCTCACATAGGAAAACTATGTTCTCTTAGGCATCTGTCCATGTGTTTTGTTCTGTGTTGGACCTGATATAGACAATAATGGGGTCCGGGCAGTATGGCTTCATTTAATAAATTTCTAAACTAATTCTAGGTATGATCTCAGCTTAGTATTTAGAGCATTTCCATCCCTGAATTCATCTATCCCTCTAGAACTTCGTTTTTGGGTTTCTGGATTCCTAAGCCATGCCCTGTTTCAAGCCAAGGGATAATCAACAGTCTGATCATTTTAGCATCTCCTGTCCACAATTCATCAACTTCAAAACTTTGACAAGGACTTAGTCAGATGCCTGTCAAAATCCAGGTAACTTTATTATTTATCACCCAGTCAGGTTAATACATATATAGAATTTTAATCTTTCATAAATGTAACACATCAACCCATCTGCTATATTTTACTGCCTATCAGAAACAAACTTTTGTATATGTGTGCCATCATATCAAGTTAAATATATCAAATGAGGGGAAATCACTTTTATTACAGGTAGCCCATGAAGACTGTACTTTAAGCCTATTTAAGAAAATGTTGCTTTAGATTCTTAAGTTTGTAAACTTTGATCTTAGCATTATGTTTTAATGTAACATATGACTACCCCTTGCTCACATGGGATTTATTCACATTGAAAGAAGGGGTCTTAAACAAACAGGAAATTTTCTAAAACCTCTTAAATCCACATACACAAGCTCTCCATAAGCCAAGAGCAAAGAATGTCCTAGTTGAAATATTTCAGTTTTAAATAACATGGGCCCATGTGGTTATAATCCGAGAAAGCTGAAGACATTTCTTTTCATCAGATACCATGAACTGGTGTTCCTCAATGTTGTCTATGGACCAGGGCCAATCCACAAACTTTTTGTTATCTGTCTGTGACAGGATACACATAGAAAATTAGTATTGAAAACTTCTACAGAAATTTCAGAGTAATTTTATATCTGTCAAATTCAAAATGGAACTTATATTCCATATCTTTTTTCATTTTAAGTTTTCCAAGGATTCATTTTTATATGCCTACAAAATTTCTGCAATAGATTAAAAACAAAAAAGAAACCTTAGTTCTTCATCTCAGATAATGTGAGAAGCAATGAGTTGGATTGTTGCAATAAAGGCAACCCAGGTCGATATAAAGTCCTCAAACTGTCACAGTAGCAGTGGAAGTAAAAAGAAGAACATGACGAGTCGTGTTGAAGGAGAATTATACAGGAATTGTTTGACACCAGCTTGGGCTGGATGGGTCTGTAGGGTGAAGAGATAGAGGTAAGTATATGTCAATTCTGTATATAATTCTGGCTTGGATAACTAAAAGAAGGAATGCCATTCACTGAGATTGGAAAATAGAGGTTTTCATACTCTCTCTCTTGTTTTATTGAGGGAGGGGGGCGGGGGTCGATAGTGAGAACAGAGTATGAGATGGTATTTGGTATGGGACATGACATATTTAATATCTGTCAGATAGCCACGTGAAGGTATTTGATTAATAGCATATTACAGAGTTAAAGGCCTAACTTTATTTTATTTTATTTTAAAGGCCTAACTTAAGACAGAGGTTAAAATCCTGGCTCTTTCACTAAATGCTTGATCTCAAACAGGTTACCAAATATGCTTTAGTTTCACTTCCCTCACCTATAAAGGACTGTTAAAAGTAAAGTAAAGCTATGGCAAACATGGTGAAGAATTTGAATTAAAAAGAGCAAACTTCCAACAGACTTTAATTCCTTCAAATTACTATCATATTTTCAGAGAAAATGAAATGGAGCGTATTTCCAAAT